TGAATGCGCAAGGTGGAAGGAACCCCCTATCGTATGGCAAATTGTTCATCAGCTGTTTGATTTTCTCTCCCAAATGTCCCTAGTAACGGTGTTTAAATTTATATTTGCTTTTGACGAACGGTTAAAGTGTTTGGCCTACGTGGGGTTTCCGTAAACCCCTAAACGGTTGTTCCTTGTACCTTTTCTTTTGTAGTACACGTACGCCCACACGAAAAGTTGCCAACTCTCCTGCTTTCTGGTGATTGTTTCCGCTTTTTTAATTTTTTTTCTTCCTTTTTCCGCTTTTCTGCTTTTTCCAATTCTCTGCTTTTTTCGTTTTTTCGAATAAAACGTATTCGTATCCAACATACGTGCAAAATAACATGTGATATTAATGAATGATTTGAGAGTGCTTACAAATACCGTGAGTCTTTGTTGGCTTCTACGTTTTGAAAGTTTGGTAAAATTGAAAGGTATGGATTAAATATGAAAAAGTCTTTAGTATTCTCAGAGGTAGGAGAAATATGAGACGATATAACGTTCCGCTATTTCCGACTCTTTAAGATGGGCTTTGTGCTTTTTAGATCTCATCAGGTGGCAACGCTGCCGGCACGCCTACAGTGCTATTCATGACAATGAATCACCTAATGGCTGTTAAACCATATTCATCTGCAGTTGAGGACAATCTTGTTCGACAGTTGCAGAATAAAAATGAAATATTTAAAAGGCTACTGATTCACGCGTATTAATAATTTATTTCATTTTTCAGATTGATGTTTCGACGGCCTGTCTGTTCGGACACTAGATAACAGTTAAACAAAGATAACTAATTTACTCGTTAATATAAATTAACCAATCATTTATTGAACTGTGTCGAGTCACCGGTAATTAATTTTGGAAGACCAGTACCTAGGACAGAGAAAAAGATATATGCAGATTCATACAAGTAAATTATATATTCACCTCACCTAAAGACTAGTGTACTGCATCGAAATCGAAATTTAAAAAAAGTTTCGGACTCTGACTTGGAATCTGAGTCGTGAAAAAATATTTTCCGGAGTCGGAGTCAGAGTAAAAAATGGCACTGGACTCCGAAATTCGATTTCTTCTCTGATGAAGCTGAAGTTGTAGAAAATAAAAGAAATTTATTGTGAGTTAATGTTTGAGCTATATTAGTGCAAAAATTACATAATCTGATACAAGTTTATTCGTGAGTATGTTGTAGAATGAATAAAGATATGCTAATTTTAATTTTATAAATAAATCTTAAGCAAAAATAATGGCACAAGAAAAATGTTGACATTAATCATTAGTATACAAAAAAATTAAAATAGATTAATCAAGAATATTCTATTTATTAAAATGATTGAAACTATCGTCGACATCGAGGCATAATTGTTTAGGAGCTGTGCAGGTTGATTCTTCAGAAGATACTGTTGTTGTCCATGACATTGATGCTGTTCGTTTTCGACGAAAATCACTATTTAATAATTCTTTAAAAATTTCCATATTCTTTTGTAAAAACAGCATTTGATTTATTTTTTCACAATCTAAACGTGTTGTTTTTTCTGTAACAACATTTTTCGTTGTTGAAGACAGACGTTCAATAATAGTATTGGAAGCTGGTATTGTTGCAAGCCACCTTCACCAAGGGGGAAAAGGTGATTTATGATTTTGTGAGTTTAGATGATTTTTTTGATTTAATTTTGATTTTTAGCTGATTTAAATCAGCTTTTCCCCCCTTGAAAAAAGCACTTGCTTTTTCAATCATAATATCTAGTAACAAGGTGAAAAGTGAAGCGAATGTTATTAATAAAAAAATAAAAATAAAAAGGTCTAGTGTACTTTTCGAACAAAAAGGAAATGAGAAAAAAAAAATTTCTAATTAATTATATGAAGCAATATTATTCATAAATAAAGTCCTTGAACATAGACCTTTAATGAATGCTTTTCCCCATTTTGTTCTGTAGATGTCGGCAAATATAGTGATAAAGTATATGATCTTGGTACTCGCCAGAAATGTTTTTACGTTACCTAATTGGCATTCAGCGGTGAGTCGAATGAACATAAGAAATTCTTTGCTCGTTTTGGTCTGAATACCCAAGTAAAACTGAAACGCAGAGTAGACGCATCCAAATGCGTTTATAGACGGATATAGATGCGTTTTTGTTGCAAATGATGATTAAATGCGTTCAACCGCATTTCAGTGATACATCTAGATGCACTTAAACAAACAGGCGCATTTAAATGCATCTAAAATATGAACACGTTGCATTTTTTGGTCGATATTTTTGCGGGTAGATGCGTTCCAATGAATAGACGCGTTTTTCATTTGACCATTGTAACGACAAGCTAGATTGGAGTAGCTTGTGCCACTCTCGGCAAAGATGTTTATTAGGCTACTTCAAGTATCCAGAGTGTAACGACAAAACTAGAGAGTGTCGCCTATGCCCGTCGGCATGATGGTGTATTGTGTATTGTGTCATCTGACATCACTAGTCGTGTCCCTACTTTACATTAAACACAAGCTTATATACGCTGAAAGAAAAGGTGCCAAACGGAACCTTCGAGGTTTCATGGAGCTGTACTATACTGTTTAGGTGTCCGTGGAGTTATACGAAATCTGTACAAGGTTCAGCAAAATTCCAGGTTTTGTAGTATACTTTTAAGAGTTTCGAAATTTAAAAAGATTTCGTTGTGAACTATTTCAAATTTGTGATTTACAATAGGTTTCGTCATTAATCTTTTTGAGTTTTGCATTCAAAAAGGTTTGTTAAAATACCTTGTGAAGAAATCGTATTGAAGGCATATCGTAAAAAAACAAAGCGATCTCTCTCGACATCGCATATAACAGAACAACTACATGACTAATGGTACAATCAACCGGTGCTGTCACAATTTCGTTCAATCGGTTTTCATCAAATGTCATCGACAGACATCTGAACTCATCCTATAAAACTTTGTACTGCATTCATTGCTAACTATTTTGTCTCATCAGATTTCAGCGGTTATGATAAAGAACGTGCAACATATTTATTGATTGTCTTTTATCGGAGTATGATTACCCAGAATGCTATATTTTTTGTTAAGATTATTGTTTTGTTTTACATTGAACTAATTATTTTAGATTACATCTTCGATCGAGTAGTTACTATATTTCAATTATTGCCACAAAAACAATTGCTGAATCTATAACAACAACTATTTGATGTGCGTATCTTATTGCATTTGTTATTCTGATCTCATTCATTTCTTTATTTAGTGTTGATTCAAGTTTGAAGTTTGGCTATAGAATCTGCACGTACATCATATCACACTTGAACTGTAATTTTTCGTATTAAAGGTTAGTCACCATAAGCATTAATAAATTCATTTTTCCTCTATTTAGATTCTTGGGAGAATTGCACTGTTGGTAAGTTATTATTATAAACGATAAATTCGTTCGTCATCTATTTTAGTTCCTTCAGAATTCTATTATCGGTAATTTATGATGAGAAATAAAAACTTCTTCTTGTTTCTATTTAGACTCGTCTTGAATTGTATTATTGGTGAGTACTGATAGGAAACGATAAACTAGTTACCTTCTATTTTAGTTCGTTAAGAATCCAACTATTGGATACATTACTATTAAAAATAATCAATTCAGTTATTCTCTATTTAGATTCTTGGAACAATTTTTATCATTGATAACGTACCATTAGAATTACTTAATTCGTTTATTTAGATTTAGGAAGAATTCTATTATTGGCAGGTTACCGTTAGAATTAATCAATTAATTCATTCTGTATTTAGGTCGATGACGAATTCTATGATTCGGAAGGTACTAGCATAATTAATATATTCGAATATTTGCTATTTAGGTGCTTAATAGCAGTGGTATTATTTTCATTAACGTATCAAAAGAATCAATAATGTTTTTCATAAAGCTCAGGCAAAAGAATAATATTCTTTGTGGGTGTGGGTGCTATTCCAAAAGGAATTATCTGTATATGACTTGTTCTCGGTTTGATAGGGTGAATAGTGTACCCGTTCCTATGAGAAGGGACTGAAAAAGCTCTTGTCTTTTCGGTTCCGATGAGAGAGTCTAAGTACTAAGATAGTGGACGTTGTGTTGTATAGCTGAATAGATGACAATCGGAATTGTAGTGGCAGAACCGCGAGAAGATACGTTAAACAGATTGAGATCCCCAATGCTTTTGTTATTTAGAGAGCTGCGAAAGCAGAAATTTATACATGAGTCTTGTATTGAATAGTGGTGTAAACTGCATTGTAGTAGAGTATACTATTCAGCGAAACTTTTCTCCGACACTGCGTAGCTTATTTTATGGAACATGAAGAGCGAAACCCTTTTTTTTATAGGGAATAAAATTATTGTCTGTTACGAAACCAAAAATGGATACCGGAATTTCGGCCAAAAGAATTTTCGGGCCGGACTTTCGGACCAATTTTATACAAATTCATTAAACTCGGAGAAAAAACGAATTTTTTTGAAAATTGGTTTCTAGATATTTTTAGTACCGAGCGAAGCGTCGTAGTGCCGAGCGAAGTGATATAGTGTTAAAAACAGCACTTCTATTATTATAGAACATAGTATGGCGTTTTAAGATACATATCGTTTATCCACAACAAGCACGAACGAATCTAGTGTAATCTCAATATTGGCTTAAGGATGCACATTTTTTAGTTTTATTTTAGATGTAGAATTCACTATTGCTGGTATATTTTTCGAAATTTGTTCAGATGTATATTAGGCATAAATTCGTTTTTTTTATTTCAACTAGTTTTTTTTCTATGGAATGAAAAACGCCGCTTCGCTCGGCACTACGTCACTTCGCTCAGTACTACGACGCTTCGCTCGGTACTAAAAAATCTAGAAACCAATTTTCAAAAAAATTCTTTTTTTCTCCGATTTTAATGAATTTGTATAAAATTGGTCCGAAATTCCGTGGGCCGAAATTCATGTAACCCATTATTTTGTAAGTATTTTAAACAAAGTCATAAGTGATCTTTCTGAACAGTATAAAGCACTTTTAAAGATATTTGTGTAGTAATGATCTTGATTATACATTCTTAAGAAAATAACTGTTTATCCTATGTCTGATCTCGTCTTCACGTGACAGTAGTTCTAAATTTCCAACGCTGTACTTTTTCCTATAGAAGAAATTTTATGTAGCTCAAAACGTGCAGAATTCTCATTTGTAAAAAATGATTAAGGTGCAAAATAAAATTACTCGTCATAAAAAATTTTGAAATTAACTGTGGCATAAATTAAAGTTACATAATCAAAGAAAGTATTTTTTATTGGAAAATGAATGTTGAGGACTTGAAATCTATCTAATGAGATGTAATTAAGGGTCACATTGATTTATGATTACTTCTCTTTAGATTCTCAGAAAGATATTTTATTTGCTAAATTATATGATATTTTGTTTATTTAATAGCTTAGTTTGTTTGCGTTATATAAGAATCTAGATTTTATTCATTTGTATTTTTTAAGATAAACATTATTTGTGCAAAATTAATTTGAAGATAAATTGATAATCGATAATTAAATGTATTCTTGCTTTTATACGTTTTATCGTATATCATCTAACTTAGATGATCTAAGTTAGTTTAAGCTGTCTGGTCAAAACAGAGATATATGTGATATATTCATGGGTCACTGGTGGTTCATTGGTTTAGGTATGTGAATTTATAATCAAACATCTTGTTCTAGCCTGATTCACTGCAGAATTTAAATGTATGTATAAAAATAAAATACAAGTCTTGCTCATACGTCTCTAGGAAGAGCTGACCATCATGTAAGAATGATGGTGATACAGTACAAATCTGCGCGAATATGGCAATTTTGGGGGGTGGGTGTGTTTACTAATATTAAATACGCCCACACCCTTCAGATTCGAACTGAATCTGCATTGCCAATATTTATCGATGATCATGTTCATCTAAGGCCCCAATACATTGAACCATCCCGTCATTAACTTTTTCTGCAGGTAAACATATGAACGTGTAATTATATGGTGTGACACAGGGAAAATAACGTGGCGGACACATGTTCTCCATACAATTTTCTTCACCGTCTCCGTAACAATAATTCCAGAAGCCATCGCATCGTGTATAGTAATTGTTACATGGCAATCTTCACATTCTGTTTCGTCAGTATAATTTTGACCATTAATCATTACGGATGACACTTGAATAGTTTGGTCGCATATATGTGCAAATGGAATCTCTTCCAAGTTACGTAGGCGCCGTGAAGGGCATATTTCTTTCAAAGGGTATACAAACGAATAGCATTTGTTTTTATTGTTACACTTGAAACGGAGAATATCATTAATCATACAACTTAGTTTGTAATCTTCTTCATCATCATTAAGATAACAGTCTGAAATATTGTCAAGTATTCGATGTTTTGTTATGCTTTTCGATGAATTTTTGCAACAATGTAATGAAGAATAATAAGAATTATATTCATCGTTGAGTCTAATCAAACATTTACGAAAATATGATTCAACCAAGCTAATCAGAGAAGATCAACTTTGAAGTTTTGTATTCCGATTAATACCGATTTCATAACTATGTACACAAAAATAATTTCCATATGAAGAATGTTGGTGTGAGAAAATCACAGAGTTGCACATCATAACATATAGAATCAGGTATGAGAGAATATTCAACATTCAAATAGCAAACATTTTTAAATAATATAAAAAATGTACATGATCGAATAGTACAGGTACTGTTGGAAAATTAATAAAAGTGTCACAAGCTTGCCAATAAGTATGAATAATAGATGATGCTAAGATTTGATAACATGATGCCCCGTTAATTTAATCCAGGATTTTAGTTAGACAAATCATAATCATTCAATATTTAAATTCACTTGAGTACTGATCGATTCCATGAATATAACAGGTCACCCGTATGAGACTATATGAAGAATCGTAATAATTTCTTTTCGCCTCTACAGATTTGATAATATCCGGGAAGAATTTTATTCGATGTAGAACAAACGAGTATTGGCATTGTGATCAAAACCATGGGCTTGTACAATTGAAAAACACTTCTTCCAGTGCAGTGGCGTTGCCTTAATGATCAATATAATATTAATATCGTTCTGCAAGATCGACCGTAGCAGATCATAAAAGAAGTTGGTTAGCAGTAATATTCAATTGGCGAAACTCATCAAATGTGAAGTTTCGATCACGTATGTTAACGAAATCTCGTAATTGTGATTGATCGTTAATAGTTGTACCAAGACAATACTCTATCTTTTCTGTGTAGTCCAAATAGTTTATACTGTAATCATATAAGCAGCTCACCTGCGCGCGATTTATACCAAGATTTTCATCGGTATTGTGCATGCTAAATTCCGTTCTTGCAATTGTCCAGAGTGACCAACTTAGAAGTAATTGATAGAACATATAATTTGTTGACCAAAAGACTTGTGCTATGAAATCACTGTCTTCGAAGATCGAGAGAAAGTATTAATAATTAATAGTACTCAGCTTTATACAAGACAAAAAATGTACACGATTTTCAAGTATGTATATTAGACATTATTAATGATGGATTTATTAGGAAATATCTACGCCATGACTGTACTCTCAGTTGACTTGAATCTAATATTAAATGATAGAATAAAAAAACTTCTATGATAAGTTTATCTGAAAACTTTTAAGACATGTCTGTTTTTGATTTTCATAGTTCATGTAGCACAGAAACATATTCTGTGATTAAGTGAACCTTATATATAATTAAAAACACGAAGGATTCATGATTTATTTTAATTGAATATAAACACTTTTAACATGACAAAATAATAATAGCTTTAGAAATTTATTTTGGTACATGTCATTAATTGTTCGCCTGGAAGTTTCGTAAGATAAAATTTCTCTTGTAGGACGATATCTAAAATTCTGGAATTCGCATGTACTCTTTCGAGAAAAAGAATCGAATTGTGAATTCTTATTGTTATTATTTGTGAGCACTCTTTCTAATTGAGCCAAAGACATCATAATACCATTACACTGGGTAATGAGAATCCAAAGTCATAGTATCCTAAGCTTATACCATACGAAGTGCATCAATATCTAGATCTCATTCGGTTATAGATAAATACTACCAAAATTTTCCGATACTACCACTTGGGTAACGACTTCGTTACCCTACCCTGATAACTATATATCAAAAGTTGAGGAATTTGAGTTGTTTTGGTGCAATGATATTTAGGGTAAGCACTTTGTTATTCCAAAGGTCATTACATCAAAACAACTCAAATTCCTCAATTTTTAACATATAGTTATCAGGGTAGGATAACGAAGTCGTTACCCCAAAGACCACTTCGTTAGTTGCGGCTAGAAAGGTCGTTACTCGGTGTAACGGGATTATGGCATCATTCGACTTCTTTCTTTCTCTCATATTATTATGCTCTGTTATCATAAAAACAGCAACGTGATCTTATGACAACAGAGTAATCTATCTTCGTACGGAATGGAACCATGCATCTTTCGCTTACTGTCAAAACGAATCATTTCAGACATAAAAATTGATTGAAAGAAATTACTTACAATAAAAAATATGAAGACTTACAAAAGTCATGAATACATGATTAATAACGGCGTATTTAATGATCCACAAGAATATTTATTAAACTTTGTTTGAGATCAATGTGTGTCATAAGCAAAAATCATGCACATAGTTTACGACAAAAAAAATCAAAAATCTAAATACGTATATCACAATCCAACTGTAAAGGATAAACATCTTGGTGATGTGGGTGCGACTTGTTTGGATGATATAAAAAAATGAACAACTGCACCCAAACCCTCAAGAATGAGATAACAACGAACAAAATTGCTGAGTCATGCAGCAAATCAGGCTATAGAGCTTGTGAAAAGTGTAGAAAATGTGGTTACAGACAAGAGCGTGCCTAACGGCAAATACATGTTCAAATATAATTGTAATGAACATCTACGATGTGCAACAGTTGTTTGAAAAGAACATATTTAAAGAGTCAATTGCGTACGATCGACGTAAGTTTCGCGTACACGTAAACTTCCATCTATTGATTTAGAATCTGGAAGAAAAAATATTTTGATCGTTATAACGATATGTGTGCGGGTGTAGATGATAATATTTGCTTAGTGTGATGATAGGATTAAATCTGGCCTCCGATTGCACTTTTTTAAAAATATAGGAATCCTTAGAGGATCAAGGTTATCCAAAATATAGGATGTTTTTTACATAGTTTCTGTTGAATTGTTTTGCTGTTTTTTAACTGCTCTGCTCGAAAATCGTTTTAATGAAGCTGTTATAAACAGTTCAACCGTAGCCAAGATCCTTATGTAATTTTTCTACTGAAATAAGTCACTAATTCGAGGATCATTATAAAAGTTTTCTCAAATCGATAAATAACAACAAAGTAGATCATAAGCTTTGAAAAAGACAAATACTATTTCTCATAATTAACGGAGACGTTTCAGATTACGGACATGACTTCCCAAAAAATCTCAATCTAATCTTATTGTCCTGATAATCAACATTCATTGCTTATTATTTTCCACAAATTCATTTTGTATGTTACCATAACCCATTTTTTTCTGGTAATAAATAAGTGTAAATGAAAATGCATATACACAGGATGGTGTATAATTTCACGAGCTTTCAGAAGATGTCGTTACTTTTAAAAAAAGATGCTCTTTTGGTAACAGTATCCTCAAAATACAGAGTGAAACATATTTTTTTCCAGGGGTAATATATACAACTTTTATATCTAACTAAAACCTCACTAAAAATTCACTTAGTATTAAACAGTTTCTCAATCAGCCCACTAAATAGACGAAAGGAAATATACTATTTAAAGCAAATGTCACTATAATACAAGAATTTGCCCAAAACACATGATTATACACATTAAAAGGTTTTTTTCGTCTAAAGGCAATAGAAAAAGTAAGAGGTTTTTAGAAACTTTCTGCGTTCTTCGATAAAATATACGACAAAAATAGGACGTTTTTGAAAATAGAGGAAATATAGGTCGAATCGCCGCCCAGGATTAAATTTAGTTATTTCACCATATACATATTTCCAGTTGTAATCCGATGTGCAATAGTTGTTGGATTCGGAGCAGAATGAGATTTTTTATTAACTGATGATTTACATGAAAGACTGGTGTTTGCAGTAATATATATCCGTTCTCTATTTATTATTCTCTCTCTTTATGTTTCTCTAAAACTACCGGTGATATATATTGTTTTTCGGGAGGTATTTTAATCACTTCTGAAGATATAACTACAAATACAAACTACTTCATCTTTGCTTGCCTATTCGAATTTGTCTATTGTAATACTTCTTGAGAATGTGGATGCAAAGAAGAGACCCATTCACATCCGTTTACCGTCGGCTTTTACGCTGTAAAGTCGTAGAAATAGCTTTAATAGGGTATAGGTAGATGTGGACTGTCAGAATACTCACACCTTTTCTGTGGGTTCGACAACTTTATTGGATTGCCTATCAACATAATTATGGTTAATCAATACGTTGTTTCTACAATCAAGGGGTAAGCATAATTTTTTCTGACGATGATATTATCTATACATATTCATTTGTTTAGAGAATAAAATATGTTTTTGATTTTTCAATGAAGATGACTAACTTTCTCACTTCAACAATCGTTCGAGAGGGAGAAGAGAAGTGTATTTTTATGTATTTATGAGACCCACGTCCCATTCTCTTCACTGCTCATCGTATTCAAAACAAATCATACTCCACAAAAAGATTTCTTTGCAAGAGAATTATGCCCGTTTCGAAATGTATATCTCTTGCAATCCTCTCTATTGATGCTTTACGTATGCTTGAATATCTATTGCTTAATCTTGCCGTCCAATAGAATCATTATTTGCTCGTGCTATTTGCTAAATTTCATTTCAGTCAAAAACAAAAAATGCCTCTCAATTTGACAATCCAGTGTATTGTTTTTTATGTATTAATGGCAAATTTATTAGTTAGTTCACACGATATATTTGATATGTTGTCTAAGGCTAATGATCCAGTTGTTAAAGCGGCTGTTGATGCGCCAACTGATGTGAAAGCAACAGCCAACGAAAATGCAGGCAATCTTGTATATCTTCATTGCATGTTTTGGTTGCTTTTCATCAATCAATATATATTCTAGAAAAATGACGCAGCATCTACATTAACATTTAAAACTGAATATCGAACAGTACTCAATGCCTATCGCCATGTAGTTAGAGATTGGACAGAAAAATTTCCTGTAAGAAGCTAATATTATTATTTTTTTTGTACATAAAAATAATACTATTGATTAAATATATTTAGTCGGAAAATGCCGGAGAGTATTGTTTCTTACTTCAATTATCTTCAAGTGAAGTTGATCGACTTCATAAATTTGCTGCTGCATCAAGTTATGAAGAAGTTTGATTTTATTTATTCATTGTTTCGTTTATAATCATAATTATTATAGAAAAATGTTCTTCATGAGGTTCATGTTGTATCGGATATTCTCAAACGTGCTGTATACAAAATTGAAGTAGAAAACTCAACACTTAATGATGTCACCTGGTCTGCATGGTTACGATCATTTGATATCAACGTGATAATTAAAGTAAGGATCATTGAAATATTCAAAAATTTAGTTGATGTTTTGCGATAGTGAAGAATAAATACCATTGAAATCAAATATCTAACTAATTCTATAGAAAAAATAAAGCGTGTGATTTTTTCTCTTGAAATACATAATTATTCTAGGTTGGTTGCTTTCTCAGTGTGATTGGAATAATAAGTTTTATCAGCATTCGTGTTCATCTTGGTTCCGGTCGATGGTTTGCAACTTTCTTCATATTTGCATTCATAACTTCTGTTATGCAAAATTGGTATGGCCTCTATCAGGTTTGTTTATTCATTTTTATAGAGTAAAAATGTTAGCAATTTATTCTGCAGGAAGCACAAGCGAAAGTCGATGTAGTTCTTATGAAACAATTACCAAAACATTGCATAACTGGTTCGAAAGGATTTTTTTGGGCTATCATATCTTATTTTAGTGGTTTTGTGCAATTGCCAGTTAATGAATGTTTAGATTATCAGAAAGCATTACATGCTATACCTCATACACAAGCGACGCCCATTCAAGTAAAATTCTCTTCGATTTAAAAAACCAAAATTTTATTCTTTTTTTCTTGGAAAGGCTATTTCAGTTACTATCGCTCAACTATTTACTACGCCACTTGGTGAAATCGGTGAGAAATTGTCAGAATTCTTTGCTGGTACCATGCGTCATGTGCCCACGTTGTCATGGCCAATTGTTATTGGTTTAATTGTATTTATTTTGGTTGTTGTTCTTCTTATGCATTCACGGTATGAAATAAATTTACCTATTATGATGGGCTCTCTTCGGCCATCTGCTCATGGCGCTATTCAAGGAGCAGCGCGTGAGAAAGAATTAGAAGATGCATTGAATGCTTCGAAAAGTACTGTAAAAAGCTTGGAAAATACAATAAAAGAATTAGAAAAAACAAACCGCACACTTGAATATAATATCGAATCAAAAAAGCATGTTAGTCGATCATCAAGTAATGAAAGAATAAATCTTCAACGCGAACGCTCATCATCAAACCGACGAGAAAATAATGAACTACGCAAACGAACAACGTCACCATTACGTGCTAATCAATCATCACATATGGAAACAAAAGAAAATCGTGATCCATGCCAGCCAAAAGCAGCATCAAATCTTGGTGTACAACGTGAATTTCTTCCTGATTAGTTTTACAAAACTATAGAAAAGTAAAAAATCAAATCCTGTTGTACAATTTTCGCGGCTACCATATATGAAAAATGTAGTGTGATGTTGAAATTTTATTTTCTTTCTAATCTCTTTTTAATTACCTATAATATGACAATAATAAAATTTTCAAGGTTTCTCTTAATTACATGTCTTTAGAAAGCATAACTATTCGGTTGTTAGTATCGTTAATTATTTCTTCGTGTTCATAAATTTAATATTGTTAAAGACTTTTCTAAATTATGTTGCCCGTTTCTTGAGGGTGTGGGACTGTGAAGGAGCATGGGATCCACACCCTATATCTCATACCTACAAAGTAATTTGTAATATTTTGTTGTATACGATAAGTTTATTTTTTTAATATCACATGTTGGTTGAAAGATAGAATAACTAAAGCAAAAATATCCTACAGCCAGAAAAAAAGAGAACGAGCAATATTCGGATGATACTTTTCATACAATCTCTGTCCTATGTAGTACATATTAAATGGTCACCATAACAATTATTTTGCCTGCCATGTGTTTTTTTGTTACATAATAATAATGCCGTATGTCGTCATCGTCAAATTCTCACCCTCCATTTTACCTTTAACATTGCCTGCCATCGTACTTAATCGAATCGGTCGACCCTCTGAAGCATGAGTAACTATCGTTGTTTGTGTTAAAGTAGAAGAAAACCGAGTCTGCACAATCCAATCGGATTCATCAAGAGTAGTAAATTTATTCGCTAGAGCAAATGGCAATGTTTGAATCGCATCGCTTCTTGTTGTTTTCAATCTTGCATGAATCAAATTTTTATTTATCAGATGGTGAAACTGCACCACTATAAATGCAATCCAACTGGATCATAATCGAGACATATTGAACGCTTCTTACGTATGGGTTGCTAGTTTTAGTTGTTATAATGGATGATCTTCTGTTACATTGTTGAATTTCAAAAATTATTTTAATGTATTTGAGCTGATTGTTCTTTAATTTTAGACATGATATGAGTAAATCCATCGAGTCATGTTTTCATTGGAAGGGCACAAGGCATCAATGTTTAAGTGATGCATGAAATGTACCATATTAATAGAGCGAGACTAGTTGTCTCCTGAAAAAAATCATCCATGAAGTGGGAATATGTACATGTGGTTAGTAATACAGAAAAGAGAAAGAAAATTCAAACTACTAAACATAATTATGTAAAAATCTTTCAAAAAAATGAGGTAAAAATATATAAACAACTATGTTTAAAAAAACTGATACAAGAAATGAAAGATCAACAGTAAAATATGACAGAAGATGTCGTGGAAAACAATGCATGTGTGAGTTAGAATCATTTAGAACACATGTAGTATACATTCATATTGTAAATTCTTTAAGCATGAGAAATAAAATCAATGGTTACCCATTCAGTTTTATTTAAAGCAGAAATAAAAGAATGGACATCAATATTGTTATTTATGTTTTCCTTCAAATTTCATCGGAAATGGTGCCACAACCATTGATTTTTTGGTTTGGAGGAAAAGAAAATTCTTGCCAGATTAGGCTGTGCCCTTTCAATTTTGCACCAATCTAGCGACGTTTGAAAGCCGCTCGTATGATTTCTTCTGTCTCACTTTCAGTAGGATATTTACCATTATCTGCTATCCATCTGGCTACAATGCATTCTTTTTTTTGGTGATTATCGAGGGGCATGAAAGCGAAAGATGCATCATTATTCAAATACGGGACTGAGTCTGTGTTCATTATCATATGCTGATATGAGTCACTTGCTACTCTGCCGACTGGAGTGTGTGCTGTATCAATAAAATTTGGTTTATGAGCATATTCTACCAAACTAATTTGAAAAGCGTTGCCAGGACTCTTATCTTCTTTTAAAGCAACTCCTAGTTGGCTCCGATATTGCACAGCCTCATTGCTCCGGCCTGTACCTGGGTGTTCTTTATGTGAGCTTTTTGTTTCAGCATAAGCTGGCGAAATAGCTTCCAGTTTTTCACCGACACCCCCTTTTCTCTGAATTTTTAATGCGGGATCAGCATCAGCAGCCAATGTCGCCCAGGGAATAGGATGTTCAAATTCATGCGTTTGTCCACTTACAGTTATGCCGTGTTCTTGCTTTAGGCGACTTTTTTCACGGGGTTTATTTCCATAAGTTCCCTCCTTTTTTGGTCGAGCATTTCGTTTTTTATTTTCATCCTTCGTGGCTTCATCATTTTCAAGATCTCGTTTCTCCTTTTGTCTACCAGCTATCATCGGATCAAGTGTACTTTCAATCATATTTTGTTTATATTTACTATAGGTTGTTCTATTTCGAGTAATATATTGATCTAAACTGTATCTTTCTTTTTCTATCACAGCTTCATTTACTTTGCGACCAAGTGATTCATGATAAGCGATCAACAAACAGTCTTGACGGCCATTCAACTGTATGTATGTTTCCTTACCTCTAGCGGTCACAAAATGTCCTATACTTCCATTTTCACCTGGTTGAAAAATTATTTCAGCTGACTGTTTAAAAAAGGCAGGTATTTTTCTTAGTCCTCCAGGCCTTATTACTTCTGTTTCTCCTGTAGCTTGATTATGGACGGTTATATTTCTCCATTTACTATTTGCTAGCATTTTTATATCAGCACGATCCGTTGCTCCACTGTTTTTTTTGTTAATGTCGTTTAAACATCCTTCATTCATTTCTTTAGGATTTTTTATATTATTTTGCAGATCTTCTCGTTTGTCCTTATTTCTTTGTTCATTCTGAGAAGATTGGTCCGTTGAAGGTTGTTCAACAATAACTTGACTATTTCTATCATTGTCTTTATTCTGATTTGCGTTTTTCATTTTATTGATTGGATTCTTCTCATTAACCTCTCCATTACCCATTGCCTTTGCAATTTGTGCCATGGCTTTGCCAATCTGTTTTAATGTTCCGCTAATGATTTGCCTTAATATTTTTGCTAATTCTTTCGTTAATTTACTTGATATATATCCTTTTATGATACTAATCAACTGATCTACTCTTGCTTTAATAAGTGCATCCTTCATTACTTTTGAGTTCACATTTTTCTCTTCGGTATTAATTGCGCCGTCAACAATCTTAGTCACAGTACTGATCGCACTCGTTAATTGTAACACAGACTGAACAGCAGTCCAAATTCTATTAATCATAGACGTTGCTTTGATAGCAGCCGCAGTCATTTTAGCATATTTCGAACTCGAATTAGCCAGGCCTGCAGCAAACTGTTGATAACTATTTTGTAGAGTAGATACGACTTGTATTCGAATATTATCAAACTGCTGTGGTAATATTATGCTTTTTCCTAATGCTCCGTCGATGTTGTTTTTCATTTCGCTACAAGACTTTTCAAACTCACTGTCATTCTCGCTTGCAACGTAAAGATTTCGCACTTTCGTATTAATCGAATTGAAAATTCCTTTTAAGAAATTTTCTTCGATTCCATTAACTATCATTGGTATAACACCGTCTTTGATCTGTTCCATAATTTTCTCGGTTAAAATGTTAGTTAAACAGATAGTTGCAAAATCGCACGCTGCACTTTTAATTATCTTTGCAAACATTGCTGCTTTAGATAATGAACCTATCTTAGCTGCGGTTGAACCTACGGATGCTAGTTTTCCAATTCCAGCAGTCATTAGAGAAAGACTAAAACTAATCGATTTTTGTATTGCCCAGTCTTTCCAACTGAATTGACCCGACAGTCCTGCCATGGTTGCATAAATCATATCAGCAATACCTTCACTGAGTAGAGCACCTCCTATATTGACCGCGCCGCACGCTATTAAAATTGTTCCTCCAATGACTTCCGCAACTCCTATCATTGCAACTGCAAAAGCATTCCAATCCCACCAAGATTTATCTTCTTCGATAATTAAAAACTTATTCAGACCGCTACCTTCGAAAAATGCTAGTTCACTTGGCACTTCCTCTTGATCTTGAAGATCCAAAAAATCTTTCAAGTTTACTTTCAAATCATCTTTATAGGAACGAATATCGCCCTGTAAACTTGCTAGTATTGACTGAATCATTTGTTTATCATTCTCGAAGCCGCTTTTTGCTAAAATCTTATCTAAAGATTTGTCAATTTCGTCACGATTATCACCGTATTTGTACAAGGCAAGTCCGCCTGATTTTAAGATATTTTTCTCTTTTAAAAAAATTCGAATTTTATTTCCTTCTTCTTCTTTTGTACCAAATGGTAAATCTGTTTGATAGAAATATTCACTTCCTCCTTGGCTAATATATTCTTTTAATTCTATTAAAAATTCTTTAAGATCTTTTGTTTCATAACCATTATCATTGAATTTCATTTTTGAATATTTTTTAAATTCACCATCAAATCGTAACGAATCGAAATCTAATTCGTTAATGTGAACTCGTTTCGTTTGAACTAGTATCTTTTTCTTTTCGAGATAAATTTTAAATTTCATTTTCTCAGAAGATTCTTCAAATATCGAAATATCAACTTGATTCGGATCTATTTTATCTTCTAAATCTTTCCAAATACTTTCGTATTCTTCTGGTAATTGCTTTTCTATTCTATTTTTATCTAATATAAAAACAGTTTGAAAAGTTTTAACATTCAAAACTTCCCATAATTGTTCGTTGTAGCAAACAATATTTTCAAAGTCATTTTTTTCAAATTCATTTTTTCTATTTAATAAACTAATCAATGAGTCCGCAATCGAAGGATCAATATTATCTCGAATCGTCTTTTCTATGTGTCCTTTTTCTTTTCTCAATACTTTTCTTATTCTATCTCCCTGAATAAGTCCACCTTGTACTAAAAGATCATATAGTTTCTCTCCTCGTTCATAATTTTCTTCTGTAAATTTCTCACCTTCTTTTGCGTTTAGAATAAAATCAAAAGGTTCTACTGTTTCTCCAATGGCTTTCTTTAAATAATGTATATGCAATCCAATCACTTCTAGTTTTCCACTAATTTGATCTTGATAAAAATTTTCTTTCGAAGATACTTTTTTCAATATATCAGCTGTAGCTGATTGCGGAAGCATTTCGGCAATTTTAAGATTTGCCATTAGATTTCGTTTGATTGCTTCTAAAGAACGTAGAGCTTTCTTTAATTCTCTTCTTGACTGTTTTCGAATATTTCCTTCCTCCTTCAATTTAATAATACAAAATACGAGTCCCATATAGGAGAATCCCGAAACATCTCCATATGTAATTCCTTTCTCGAAACATTTTTTAGCCATCAAAACTTCATCTTCTGATAGACAAACTTTCCCTATTTGAACCGCTTCTTCCGGTTTTTCAATAAATTTCTCTAGCAAACTGTCAAAATTAGTTTTTTGTAAAACATCAGCAATCGCTTTAATAAACGAAGAATCAAATTGATTCAATAATATGTTTTTCCCCTGAGAAGTTTCAATATCATCAATGCTATTTTTCACTTTATCCAACCAAAATGCCCAACGGTTTTTTAAAATATTTTCGAAAACTTCAAGAAATTTTTCTTTCAATTTTTCTGACCTATCATTAAATAGCGGCTCGAATATTTCTTTAGAAATCTTTTTCTTGAATTGATTAAATTTATCGAAAAGTTCTTCTTCAACTTCAAGACGAAGTATACTTTTCTGTTTTAAGTCCGATAGTCTAGCTGCTTCTTTATTATCTCGCTGGATTTTTTCTCGTTCTAAAATGATATCTGATAAATCTTCTAATTTCTTTTGTCGTTGATTATCAGGATATTGATTTAGTTCATACATGTTTTCGTAAATAGATTTATCAACCTGTAAAATAAATTGCCCAGTTCCTGCGGCTCCATTTCTAGCTGTTCGTCCAAACGCTTGTTCTTCTACTCGGACATTTTCCGGTAGATAACTTAAAATTACATGCATACCTCCGTTACTATTGACGTGTGAATCTACATGAATATCAGTTCCTCGACCACCTTTATTAGTTGCGATGATAATATCACCGACTGTAGCAGGTTGTTGTCGAAATCTTTCTTCGACATTATCACCATCTCTTCTATATTTTTCTATTCTGTGCGGTGGAACACCATGTCGAATAAGTTCATTCCAAATGTTTTCTGTTGCTTCAACATTTTCACAAATAACTAAAACAGGTCGTTCGTGAGCTTGTTCGATACTTTCTTTAGCAATTAAATCAAGCCAATCGCCATATTCAAATGACACTTTACTAGGCAGTTGAAAATAGGATTTCTTTCGAGAAGTAGGCAGATCAGCAAATTGAACGTGATATAAATCAGATAAAAAACTTTGCGAATTTTCCGAGCCTAACGTTCCCGTTAAACCATAGAGACGCTGTTTATATCGTTGAAAGAATGCCTTATTAGAAATGAAAACTGCCTTTAAACTTTCAACAGTTATTTTTCGTCGATACTTTAATTCTAAAAACTGAGCTAAACCATGACTCCATCGTGTTGAATATTGCTCTATTCCGGTATCTTTATCGAGTACAATAATATTCTTTTGTTTTTTAATATGTTGATCATCTGTCTTAGGTATATCTAAAACAAAATGATCATCTTCTCGCATGATTCGCGCTTGAAATGCACTATCTACCCAACGCTCTATTTTGTAATTGACAAACTCGTTCATATAATCGGGAACAGAAATATTCTTATTTTGAACATTTGCTTTTATGAATTGAGAAATATCTTTAACATGTTCTGATATATCGTCAGAATTACTCATTTCTGTTCTAAGCACGGCAGCCCAAATATTAATAAACAATGTTTCGAGCCATTTCAGACTTTCGATTTCATGAGAAAGATAAAGAACATGCCGAGCTTTGTCTAAACACATATTATCGACTTCATCAACAATCAACGATTTATTTCGATTTTCATATCGTTTACCAAAAATCTTTTTACTATTAAATTCTTCTTCTAAAATGTCACGTTGAAATGTGCCCACTTCTCCATAAACGATATTACCTTGAGATGTATTTAAATCTGATCTATACGATTGATGATTAACTTCATCGTTTTCGCTGCAAATGTGGCCACTTTCAAGTTTTAATAGTTGAAAGAACGAACGACATTTTTGTTCTCCTTCTATTGCTAAATCTCGATTACTAGAAACAATGTCAACAGCATGTCCGCATAGCGCAAGAAATGCGGCAATTAATCCTACAATCAGAGTTTTTCCTTCGCCTGTTCGAACTTGCTCAAGAAGTCCTTTATCATGACTGTGAATGACCAGTAGTAAAGCAACTATTTGTGTATCTTTCGGAAATTGTGGTTTATTCGCAATTGACCAAGCGTAAAGAATTAATGGGATGATTTGATCTAAATGAGAACGTACATATTTTTCAGGATTATCTTGATAGGATTTAAGATTAAGAGTTTCTTGAATTTCCCGATTGATTTCTGAGTTTTCGTTACCTTCTAATACAGTTTTTTTTAAAGCTTTTTCTCGAAATCGTTTAGCTTCGTGAGCGATGCTTTCAAGAGTTTTGTTCACAATAACATTAGTTTTTTTATTTTGTTGATTAATCATCTGATCAATGATTTCTCGTGCTGAGCGATCAGATTTATTATCAATCGCAAATCGAGATGAGACTATTTTTTTAATTTCATCAGGCCAATCAAGATAATTAAATTTCTCGACGATTTCATTTGCTTGTTCAAATGAAATATTTTCATAGTGCACAACTTCCAGTAGTTTATTTAGTTGCTCTACAGTTTTAACGGTTGTTTTGGCTATTTTATCGGAGATACTTAGAAAAAAATTCAAAAACCTATCATTATTTTCAATGCCTAATTGTATTCGAATACGATTTAAAAAAAGCAACGCTTTTTCGACACCATCTTCATTCATTTGAATCCCAGATTTAGTCATTTCTCGAGTAAAAATTTGAGAAAATTCAATTTCATGTAAAAGTATATCCCACACGGCTAATGAAGCATCGGACAATTGATCCAAACGTTCTTTACTCACACTTATCTTGCCCATTAATTCAACAATACTAAGAAATTTTTCTTTCGTCATCTTTTGGTAATCCGGTATAGAAGGAATATTACTCTGAGAATAAATCGCTTGATTAATTTGATCAATATAGTGACTCATAAACATATTATTGAATAAAAGTAAAATTTTTTCATTTACTCGCATTAACATATTACGAAGATTTTCTATTTGGCTGCCAGGAGAAAATATCAAAGTATATTTTTCGACGATATGTTCTATTAATAATATTCTTAGCCAATCAGTTTGAGGCGAAGACGATAACTTTTCGATTGCTACACGAATATCTTCAAAGCAAGATAAACATTGTTGTACTTTTATAAAATGATCTACATTCATGGAAAGACCTCCGTCCATTTCTAATCTATTATTAAATGTATCGATTAAATTATTAAAATTTAAAACTTCATACGGTTTTTTCTTATCAAACGAACAACCGCTTTGTATATATCCATTTAGTTCTTTAAAGCCATTTTCTATTGGTACTAATTCATAAAATTTCTCTAGTTTTTTTCTTTGCAATGCAAAAATTCTTGTAAAAATAATCTCTTGAATTTCATCGATTTTCCTCATGTCAAAAACGGTCGAATTTTTCACTATAAAATCAAATAATTCATCGTTGTCTTCTTCGAAAAATTCGGGAAAATAAATAACTATTTCTAACCACTTTGCATTTGAATATTTTTCAAATAAAGCTGTTGAATATTTCTCTAGATAAACAATTTTCAGTTCTTGATAAATACTCAAAATTGATTTTCTCAAATACGTATATTCGTTTATATTTTTATGAGATTTATTCTTACATAGATTTTCTAGATTTGAACATAATTTCTTGAGTTTTATTATATGCTGTATTTCTTCAATCTTACCTATAGATTCGTATGCTGAAAGTGTCTGCAATAGCCAAGCTAAGAAGTCTACAAATTGATCATCAATACTTCCTAATGGATTTCCTTGCTCAAGTACGACATGAAGTAAAGTAATTTGAAATTGTGCATGAACAATATTTATGTCATTCGAAACTACATTATCTTGATGAACTCTACTAATCAATTTCATCAAATTTATTAAAGTTTTAAATGGAATTCTTCCTCGACGCATTATTGAATAAGAGGAGACCGGGTTTTCATAGATTTCATAAAATCTATCATAGATCTCTTGAAGAATGATTGATTTTTTATTCGATTGCTGATGTAGAAAAATTAATATGACTTCAGAGACTTTTATTTTTTCTTCAACAGAAAGATTTTTCTCCATCTGTGTCTCGAAAGAAACGAGCTTTTCGTTATAGTATTTTATTAGCGTACGCAGTACTTGTTCTCTTAGATTTAATAACGTTTCTGAATTCTTAACAGTTCCTAAATTCTTAATAGTTTCTTTGAGAAAATCATTGGTATTTTCCTCAGGACTAAATTCAGCTAAATTTAAGATACTTATAGCTTGCAATTCAATGTCGTTATTATCTTTTCTATGATGAAGAAATAATTTTTCAAGTTCATTTTCTAATAATTGACTTATTTCTAGATTTTGTATTAAGCCAATATTAATATTTTTTCTCATTTCATACACGAAAAGACAAAAATTCGATTCCTGTAATAATTCCTTTGTTATGCTAAACAAAGTCTCATCCGATTTAGTATCGATTTTATTTAATCTATTCGTTATAAGAATACGCATGTCATCGTCGATATTATCAAGATTAGAAAATAATTTGTCCTGTGCTATTAGAATAAGTTTTTTATCATTAAAAATAATATTATCGTTTTGTTGTTTATTAATTAAATCTATTTTCTCTCTTAGATGATTAGAAGTTATTTTTATATTTTTTTCTATTTCTCCTTTTTGTTCTGAACTATCGAAAATATCAAAGATTTTTTCGATTTCAATTTCTTTTGATACATTTTTCAATGTTTCTTCATAACTGGATTTTATTTCATTTAATTGATCATCGGCTACACCGAGAAAAGTATCGGAGTTTGCATGACGAATCAACCGCATTAGCTGATCATACAATTCAGCTACTTTGTCAGGTTTTTTATCTGTCTGTTGTGATATCTTTCGAAATAAACTATTGATTTCACTCAAACTTGATAGGATATTTTCTGTATCGACTTTAGTTGATTTGAGTTTTTCTTCTTGTTTTTCGATTTCTAATTTTGTTATTTTATAATCGAAAACTATCTTTAAAAATTTGAGCTCACTAGAAAGCGTGCTATTATTTGCTGTTGTCTGTAGAATAGCTTCTATAGTATGAGAAATAGTTTTTAGTGTTGAATCTTTGAAATTTTCTAGATTATTTGCTGTCCATTGAAGAAAACCTATTAACTTGTTATTCTCTATCACACTACTGATGTCCTGAGAAATCGAAAGAGTTTTAACGATTTCTTCTATTAATGTTGGATCATACAATGTATTAAAAGCGTCTATTTGCTGTTCGATTGTATATAAAGAATTGTTTGCTTCATACGGTTTTGAAGAATGAAAATTTAGATCGTTCGATTGTTGGATTTGATCTAAAACTTTGATTTTTTCAATGTTACAGGAAAAATCGAAAAATATGTCGTACAAGTAGGATCGCGGATTTTGAAGAAGTACGTATTCTATCTTCTCGATTTGTTGTGTTAGTTTGCCGAAATTATTCTTATCAATTTTTATCAAAGCTAAGTTATGCTGAAAAATAAAAGTAAAATCCTCGATAATATCCAATTGCTCGTCATTGGTTAACAGATCTGACAGATTTTCATCGAAAAATGCAGAACTTGAAAAAATTTGAAAAACTTCAAGTAAATTCAATTGATCACTAATTTCATTAAATTTATCAATAGATTTCATTAATTCGGCTCGATTATTACTATATAATTTTTGATCAAAATTATATAATGGAAATTCTTTTAAAATAGACAATGACTTGAGTTTAGTATCGATTTGTTCAAGCTGATTGCCATCGGCTATGCGAATTATTTCGATAATATTTAAAAGACTCTTTTTCATTTCTCGTACATTTTCGTGAGAAAATTCTTGAGCATTAGCTAATGTTTTCTGTATCCATATTAACCAATAATGTCTTACACATTCCCGCTGTATTCCTTTAGAAAAATCTATTAATAAATCTAAAGTATGACTGTTGTCTAGCGATGGAAATTTGATGAAAATTTGATGTAATATTCGTTGCTGATCGTCGAGAGCTCTCAAACCTAATAAATCATGGTTCGCCTGTTGTAAATTATAAAGATATGTATAGGTGAAATTTGAAATTTGATTTAAATCCAAATCTAGTGTCGCATTTTGAGAGAGAATTTTTTCTAATTGTGCAAAATAATCAAATCCAAGATTCAAAAGAGATTCTTCAGATGGTTCGTCATTAAAGTTTTTAGTTAACTCAACACTGACAACATTATGTTCAATTGGAAAATGTCTCCATTCTTGTTTATATAAATTCTCTTTGATGATTTTTATATTTTGTCGATCTGAAATCGATTTCAACAGTTCCTCTTGAGGTAATTCTACTAGTACTTCTGTACGTTTTCGTAAAGCAAGAAGACGTCGAGAAAAGCGTTGCTCATTAATAATTCTATTAATTGTACTTCTCAGATTTGCTATTTCAACACTTCGAATTTCTAATCCTGTTGCTAATTGACTGGTATCGACTTTCTGTATTTCGTTTTGTAACTGCTGATAAACTACTTGATACTGTTTGGAAAAGTCATTATGATGATTTAATACATTTTGTGCTAATAGAATGACTCCAATATTCATTTGATCGGTATCGAGTCGTTCTGTCTGATGCCGTTGATTTTCTCTACTTATAGTTTGAACAAATTTTTCTTTTAGAATTAAAATTTGTTTAGCATCATGCTCAATATCAGGCAATGTATGCACTGTATAAGAAGGAAATTCTTCTAGATCAGCCATTTTTTCTAAGAATTCCTTTAAACTGGGAGCTAGCCAATGCTGGTAAGATGCTAATTTTTGTGGATTAATATATTCGTCAAAAAACTGTGAAACTTGCTGAAAAACATGGTGATGATTTATAGCATGTATTTTCTGTACTACTTCTTGATCTTTATGCTGATGAGTCAATGTAGCTCCTCGTTGCGCATTTCTATCAGGATATTTATTCTTAAACCTAAAACTATCTGCATCATCTTCAAATTGAAGCATGGAATAATCTTCAAGGTCTTTTTTCTCTTTATGTTCATAGCGATCAGAAAGATAAAGACGGCCTCCTTTTAAGTTATCAACGTTTCGACTTGTAAATAGAGCCCGATGAAGGCCAATATAATTACTGATAGCTACATAGTCACGCCCATCCTTTCCATGTTTTCCAGCCTCGCCTGGTTGTCCTGGTTTACCGTTTTCACTTTCTGATTTTTCTACGAAATTTTTATGTTGCATCTGTGAAGAAGTTTCATTCAAAGCAACAAGTTTTACTAGTCCGGGAATACCTCCATCACCACAAAATCCTCCTGAACCAGCATCCCCTCCACAACCACCAGGAGTACCATCGGTACCAATTCGGCGATATCGATATGACCAGGCACCTCCCAAGAATGCCCACTCTCCTGACAACTCTTTTCTTAAAGCCTCTTTATCAGCATCTTTTCCATCTTTACCGTCTAAACCACGCGCCCCATTTCCTCCATCTTGTCCCTGCTCTCCTTTACCACCGCAAGCCGACACCTCGATGGGAGGCAACTGATTCGCAACTACGTAAACATGTCCGGCACTCTTCCCAGACTTTCCATCAAATCCATCTTCTCCTTTGTTTCCATGGCCACTCGGATTGGTTCCATGAGCATTTTTAGCTGGATGATTTATCCAAATATTTTTCGCATCTTCTCCATCTGTAATAATATTTAATTTGCCTTTATTCTCAATTAATTCTTGAGATGGACTAATTAAAACAATATTTACTCCCGAATAATCTCGACTAGATAAATCAACGTCAATATAAAGTTTGTCTGTGTTTATAATTCTTATTTCATTATTAGGACAAAAGCAATCTGGATGTTGTTCTTTAATAACATTTAAAATCTGACTAAGAACTCCTGAGTTCGTTTTTATTTGAAAAATACCATATTCACACTGTTTATAGGTTTCTATTTGGCACCAATTAATGTATCCATTTAATAGTTTCTTTAAATTATTTATTTTTTCTTTAAATAAAGGCTTAAGAGTATGATTCTTTTCCTCGAGAATATCTTTTAGTAGTCGAGCCCATTCATAACCCTCTCGATCCAAATAGTTTATCATAGTTTTGTAGATAGACAAATAATCATAATAGTTGTCGTTCGAATCATTGAGTCGAATTAATATTTGCTTTAACCACGATCTTAGCTGTTCGTTTTTAATAGCTTCACAACTAGATAACATTTGATAGAAGCTTATTTCGAAATGATTAAAACCTACCGAAGCTCGATGGCGAAAAGCTAATAAATTCGATACATAATCTTCTACTGTATCAATAATACATTGACGTAAACATTCACTAATTTCGGCACTACCCTTTTCATCGTTGTATTCTAGAAAACGTTTGCATTTTGTTACAATATCAAATAAATTTTTATTTTTAAAAATTTTAAGAATTTGTTCAATATCATCAAAATTTTTATTTGGTTTAAGACGATCGAAAATCTCCTTGTTTATTTCACCATCCACAGAAAAAGCTTCCTGTTCAGATAAATGATCGTATCTATCGTGCAAAGATTGTCGAAATAATTCGCTAAACTTCGGTAAGCATTCTTCAACATTAGCAAATCGACTTAAAAGATTAGTTAAATCTACAATTTTTCTATCTAAATATACAAAGTGGCTATGACTGGTGTCTTCGAGTTGTGCTTTCAATGAGCTAATGACTTCCGATAGTATTGTACTATTGTCACTAGCTAGAAATTCAAGAAGGTTTTTATATTGAGAAATCTTCGTATCATAATCGACATTTTTCGAGTCGAAATAGGATAAAGCTCGAGATGACAATTGATTATGAGTGGTTTGAGTTTTAACAGTTTCTCGAATGGAACTGAGTAAAAATCGATGCAAAGATTTTTCAAAAATTTCCATAGCACTTAAAGATCTATGCCGAAATGACGCTAAACTATTCATATAATAATCAACCGTATTCATCATACTAGTTCTAACATATGCTCCTATGTAATGAATAGCTCGTTCATCGTTGCTTGTGATACAGTCATCAAATGATTTAAATATATCTGTTAATTTCTCTTGATCAAAAGCTTTCTTGCGTTCGACTTTTACAAATAAAGCAGAAATGCATTTTTTAATATCTTCAAAATTTTGCTGCTGATGACAAATTTGATTGTAGATGTCGTCTCTTAAACTGCTATTAATGATTGGTAAATCCAGTAGTTCATAACAATAGGGTAAAAGACACTTAAATATTTGATGAAATTCATTTAGCGACTCTTCGACTTTGACAAATCTTTGAATAAAAGGTAAAATTACACCGAAACTCTTTTCAGCGAATCGATTCGTTATTGCAGCATTTTCAATTCTTCCATTTCCTAAACTATTTTTAATACTTTTACATTCTGAGAGTAATTCTTGTGCATGAGAAAAACTATTTTCAATTTCTAGAAAATGTTCAAACGACTCTGCAAACTTTTGATAATGACATAAATATAAATATTCGTCTGAACTCGGACGTGATCGTTCAATCATAGAATTTAATTGCTTTACATGCACAAAAGATTGGTTTTCACTTACTGAATTATTCTCCTCTGTCATAGTTAAGAGAATCATGTGATGTAGTCTATCTTCGAAGCGTTCAAAATTCTGACAAAGTTTCTCTTGAAACGATAACAAATTTAACGAACATTTTTTCAGAACTCCAAACATAATATCTACTATGGAATTCACTTCTAAGTATTGTTTTTTTTTCTCTTCAACATTGTTTAGAGCAATTTCAATGTCGTGAATGCACTGTTCTATTTCATTTGGGATTTCCTTTTCATCTATAAGACAAATAGATTCGAATATTTCATCAAATCTTCTAATGGTAGCGAAGATTGTTGACAAATATTCGACCCGGTTTTTAATTTCTTCAGCTCCTAAAGAATTTAAAGAAGTTTCAATGAGTTTCGAAAATTGACTTTTAAATTTCTCAACTATTTCAATAGTTTCGTCGGGCGGAAAGTCATTTTCTAGATAGTTCAAAACGGATGGTTTTTCACTAGTTTCAATAAACCATAGTTTCACTTTTTCTACATTTTCTTTACTGGAAAACTCTTGTCGAGCTAAATTTTTTCTCAGAAACTCCCAACAACAATTATTTGAAGCCCATTGACAAGCAGCTGCATTAAAATAGGCATGCAACAAACTATCGTCTGACATTATTCGTTGTTTCGGACATTCGACTAGACAAAGTTTATAAACACATTGATTCATTACTCCGCTAAACCAATTTAATATTTTCAAATTAACGTTTTCAAGCGCAGAATTCATAACATAGATGTATCGTAAATCATAATTATATTTATATGATCGTTTACTTTCAACAAATAAAGTCACATAATGTTTATTTGTTAATCTTACTATAGAAGTAAAATTTCTGCTAAGATCAGATTTTATTCTATTTTTTAAATCATTTCCATGGTCACTATTTCTCAGATCATAAATTTTAATTCCTGTGTTTGCTGAGTATTGGTTTTCATAATCAATAATTGGCATTGGCTTTATAAAATAATCTTGAGAAACCGAAAGCTTTTTATTATCGATTTGAAATATCCGTGACAAATGATTTAATATTTTAGCTTCTTTCTGTAGAAAAATTTCGGTTTTTTCTTTTTTCAAATCCTCGGGTAGAATGTCCTTTAAATAAATCTGCAGAGTATCTAATTCTTGTTTTTGATCAACAAAACCTTCGGATATTCTACCGCACAGTGTTTCTCCATAGAAATACCATCGATTTAAATTCATTTCAGAAGCAATTCTCTCCATTTCAATTCTACTTTCTTGATCTTGAAACTTATTTGTATCGATCAACTGTGGTTTTTTGTCCAGCTCAACGAGTTCTAAATTAATACTTTTAAGCACTATAGTCTTTAAACTTTTAATTCTATTATCTTTTAACCAGAGACCATTTTTTATGAAATAACTGCTGTAATTAGAACTATTTTCAATTTTTGTCAATACAATTGCATTTCCATTGATTTTAGGAGGATTTTTTTTATTGACTTCAAGTACGACATAAAAATCACATTCCATCAATAAGAAAAGAAACTTTTTCTCATAGGGATTTTCTTCGTGCCGATTTTGTAAACAAGTTTCTCGAGTATTTTGACTGCAACAAAATCGCCAATCAATATTATAAACAGAATTAAGAGAACGTTTCAAATCATTGACTTGATCGATGTAAGGAAGAATATCTACGAAAAAGTCTTTTTCACTGATTTTGTCATTTAATTTTTTAACGCCAGTGCCTGAAGAAATAGGAAATAAACTTAAAGGAAAATCGTTTTGTTGTTTTACGACTAATCGCGATGATTCCTTCTCTTGACGACTATTCAATAGATTATCACTGATTTTATATGACGAAGAAATTTGTTTCAGAATCTTACTTTTTTCTTCTACAAAATAGCACATAGCTCGATGATAACGTTGTTCAAGAGGATAATGTCCTATGAATTGATATGCCTTTCTCAATGAATCACAAAAATGAATAATTTTCGTTCGTTTACTTTTCAGGTCAAATTGATCGTTTTTAAAAAGAATATTTTTCAACTTGGAATTAGAATCAAAATTTAAAAATACATCTTTCTCCGCCAACATGTCGAGAAATTCACCGAAGAAATGAGTAGCAACTCTGTTACGGTTTAAAATTTTGCTTAATAATGAATTTTCACTGATTTCTAATTTTAAAAATTCTCTTATTCTGTCCGGTATCCAGAACCAACTTTCCCAATGATTTTCGTTTTGTTGTGAATTTGAAATAAATAAAATTGATCTGCTATCAGATATTCTATAGATATTTTGCCATTTTTCGAGTTCTCTATTATAATCGGACGTATTTTCTGACTTACGAACTAAAAAATATGCTACATCGTCTTCTTGTGATAGCGATAGAGCGGCTTCAAACTCCATAACGTGTCTTAATTTCACAATTAATTCTTTCCTCAGTTGATATTCGTTTAATTTATCTTCGAAATCTTGTCGAGACGCATTTCTTAATAAATTTATATAATACTCAACTTGATCTAAACAACCAATTTCCAAATTACATTCAATTAATTTAGATAGAATTTCACATACAAATAATTGTGAACTATCTTCGCTAGGAGTTTCTGTTGTTCGTTTTAAATTTTCTTCGAGTTTCTTTCTCTTTCTTTTCAATGAATAGTATTTAACGTTGATGGATGCACGACCTCGCTGTAATTGTGCTTCGCTAGTGATGCGTTCTATACGTTTACTATTTTCTTCGTTATTATGAACTAATCCGCATGGGTTACTGACGGAAATACTTTCCAGATTGACATTTTGAATTCGAACACGCTTGAAATCTGCGTCCTCTTTGACCCATTGGCCGTTCTCTACAAAAAAACTCATGTATTCATTTTCGTCCTCAGTTTTAACAAGTACAACGGCGTTTCCTGGAATCGAAGGTAACTTATTTAGTTCAAGAGTCGGTGTCAAATAAAGATCACAAGTTGAATCCAAAAAATATTTTGCTACTTTTACAATATTAAAATTATTACTTATTCGATGTTTATCATCAAATTGATGAATCGATTTTTCTAAATAAAACTTTACTGAAAGTAGATTATCTTTAACAAGACCTTTACTATAGTAGTTGTAGTTCGCATAGGCCATATCATAGTAAAGCTTAGCAATTCTATCTTTGTAACCCAGCACTACTCCATTTCTTAATCGATCTCTAAATAAATTACAATATTCATTGATTTCTCCTGATAATACTATAGCATGCTCTTTGATTCGAGCAATTGTTATCTCTTCTAAAGAACTTAGTTTATCATCCTTTAATTCTATTGAAAGCATATTTTTCAAAATCTTACTTTTACACTAAATTGGTTTCGTCGTACAGCTTAGTTTCTAATCATTATAGCATAACATGAAATTACAATAGATAGATAAATATTTACTATACTTAATGGAGAGAAAAGATATTGGATTAAAAAGCAGCTAATGAAAATAGATGACATTGGCATACTGATATGTACAAGTAATAAATAAAGGTATAATATGCTATACTGTGTTGGATTTATTTCATTGGTTGCTTTCGAAACCTATCGTTTCCTGGCTCATATCGTAGCATATTATATTATGTCAAAGTTGGTGGCGTTAGTTTAATTGCATGGTATGTTGTAATTATTAGATTTGAAATGTTAATTTACGTATCAAAGCCCATTGTTCCATAATAATAAGGAATTATGAAATTTGGTAGAGACGAAAAGAAATCTTCCATTCAAGATATAAGGTCTATTAAGGTATTTAGTACAGATAATGACGACGAGTGTAGTAGTGATGATGAAAGAAATAGTATAGCTGATATAGCGTGTTTACCTGAAATTTCAGCTGTAAAAAGGAAAGAAGATAGATGTTATCAGCATCTTTTACCGATAGACAATGGACTTTACGATGGTACAGTTAGTGAAAAATTTTTGCGCGAAGGCCTAGGTACATACACTGTTAACAATGACGAAGAATATTATTCTGGTGCATGGAAAGATGATAAACCTCATGGATATGGTTATAATTTAAAAAGTCGTGGTTCAACTATTTATTATGGTGAATTTAACAATGGACTACTTAAAGAAGGCTACGGAAAAGTGACATTAGAAGATGGCTATGTATATAAAGGGCCGATAAAAGATGGAAAATTTCATGGTCTTGGAAGTCTGTCGATGAAAATAGCAGGTCTGAAAGAAATAGATACTCTTCAGCTTGTAGCCGAGTGGGAAAATGGAAAAACGAGTATTGTTTATAAAAATGAGATTAAACTATATTACGAATATCAATATCAAGCCTTTTGTAATAGTTTAGAATCTATTATTTCATTGAATAGCGTAAGTCGGAAAGAACAAAGAAAATTTTTTCAAAGTTTAATTGACTTATTAGAGAAACGTCTTTTGAATCTTAACCTACTAAACGAAATTGCCACCCATTCTATATTGCCGAGAGAACTAAAATCATCAGCTAATCTTTTATATAAATTAGATAATAGTTATACACATCTGAAAAAATATACAGAAATCGACATAAAAAACTCTTATAATAATTGTGTTAAAAATATCTGTGAAATAGGATTGAAAATCTATGCAACAAGTTTAGCGTGGACTGAAGATGATGAAAAATTAGATTGCATTTCTTCGCGAAAAATCTTTGATGAAAATTTAAATAGTTTTACGCAAAAATCTCAACTATCTGATCTTAAAGTGGTACTTTTAATAGATACGTTCGTGGTTGATTTAATTCAAAAAATGATACGTTTTGCTAATGAAAAATTACTTCGAATTTCTTCACAATATCGATCGGAGTTTATTGATAGTCATACGAGATTTATAAAGAGAATATGGCTAGATTATTTTCAAGCGTTAGAAAAAGATTCTATTGCTAACAGTCTAGACGATGAAATCGATAAAAGATATCATTTTTATACTGACTGTTATTCGAACCTATTGGAAATTCCTTTAGTTAGCACATTGGAAGCCGAACCGAACAAATTAAACACAGATCAAAATAACAGCGACTTAGTAGCAGAAGAGAATAATATGAAATATGAAATTAAGTCAATTATTTATAAAGCCATGAAATTTTCTTTGGATCAATTAAAGCCGTGGAGAAATCTTCCGATAAATGAGCTAACGTCTTATTTTAAGCAATCTATTCATCATGATACTTCGATTAAAGAAATAGGAGATAAATTATTGATTCAAATTTTGCAAGATATTGAAAGAAAAATGGTTGACTTTTTCAAAATGAATACAAAACATTTTTCTGACATTTTACAATCGATTGTCTCTTATTATCAGAACAATCTATTGAACGACACGAATTTAAATTATCAAAGTAAAATGAAAGAAATAATTAGAATAGTTGATTACTTGTTGCAAATTTCAGGAACAAAAAATTCCCATATTAAAGAACTCACAGATGCACAATTAGAATCGATTAAGACGTTTATTGAAAGAAAAGAAAATGTCACAGAATTTGTTGATCATTTCCTGAACTTCAATGTAGAACTTTGCAACTTGTCGCAACATTTCGATAATCAGTTCTCGGTTAGCATACATAGCGAATTCAATAGAAATGCTTCAGACATAATATCTTCAATAAAATATTTTTTTAAAATCTTACTGGCAAAAGATAGCAATATGCGGTCAGAAATACTGAGTAAATATGAAGTATCCGACGTGGACGTTGCTTTGCGACAAGCAGTTTTTAAAGAACGCATATTTGATGTAGAAGTTTTATTAGAATTAGGTGCGAACGTCAACGCACCAGGTCCTAGTTCAGGAAAAACTGCTTTACATTGGGCAGTTATTAGTAAGGATAAACATCTTGTTTCACGTCTTTTAGAAAAAGGTGGCGATATAACAATAGAAGATCACGAACAGAAAAGTTCACTTGATTATGCAAAAACGAATGGAATCGAATTAATTTCTTTACTAGATGAAATGAAAAATGAAAAAAAGGAAAATTCATCAAATAAGCTATATGCTTTACAAAAAATAAACAATTTTCTTACTAACTTAGGATCTCTAGATTTTACTTGGTTTGTAGAACGTAAAAAAATTACTAATTTAGATACTAATTTATTTAAGCCAGCTGGAGAGAAAGGTCTTTATAAAGTAACAAACATTGAAAAAGCAAAAAAGAAAGTAAAAGATCCATGTCGGCATTATATGTTAGATACAATAAACGAGCTGTTAGACATTGTTAAAAATGTGAAAATATTTAATCGATCAAGTCCAACTAAAATAGTTAAAGTGAGAGCTGAAATGCTAATGGCAATAGGAAAATCTTTTAAGTATTTTAATGACCAAATAAAATATAGTAGTTTAGAAAAATTCAAAGACGATTGTGTCATCCCATTTAGGGATGTAATGAGCGATAGTGATTCTTATGAAACATTTTATAGTAAACTAGAAAAAATTGATTTATACTTTTTATATGATAGAAAATTAAAAGAAATCACTATTGATCAAGCTTTAGAATTATTCAAAGAAAAAAATGGGAATTTTTCTAAATTAAAAATAATAAAAAATTCCTTTTACAAATATGAAAAAGTTTTTAAAAAGTATTTTTATGATATTATAGACAAAAATAAATCAATTGAAGAAATAACCACAGAAGCTAGAAAAAATGCTAATGAATTAAATTTTAATATAGAAAATATTCCAGATATTATTGCTGGACTAGCAGTTATACTTTCTTTAAGTGTGTCTGATTTTATCGAAAAAAATCATCAAGGAGAATATGTTTTGAAAGAGAAATAAAATAAAAAATATTTATTACAACCTCATTGTATTCAAATTCTTGGAGTACTAATGCTATTAGATATTGACGAAAAAACGAACACAATTTCGTCTAAACATCTCGCTGAGATCTTAACTGGACAAGGTAAATCGTGGACGTTGGCTCTTCTAGCAGGATTTTTTAGTTTAGTTGGTTGTCAAGTCACAGTCGGTTGTTACAACGATTATTTATCTCGACGAGATGAAGGAGATTTCAAGAAGTATTTAGATCCATTTAAGTTTACAAACAATGTTAAGTATAGAACATTCGAATCAATGTGCGAAGAGAAACTGACCAGTAAGAAACATAATAAAAAATTTAGAGATATCATTTTTGATATTCTATCAGGGGAGCATCTCTCTCCAGAATATAGTCAAGAAAATGAAAACGAAAAGTCTATTCTCTTGATAGATGAGGTTGACGTATTTTTTTCACATAATTTTGGCGCTATGTATTGTCCAGGACTTCGCATTAAAAATAAATGTTTTGTTGAAATGCAGAAAGATATTTGGGAAAACATAATGATGAGTAAAGTTGTTGATAAAAATCAATTGAAAACATTAGCTAACCAGAGAATTTTTAATTCAACTAGTCAAGATAAAATGTTGTCACATTTAGTAGAATCAAACCTTTTAGAGGATCACTTGGAAAATATGATAAATACTGCTCTTCGAATTCGCGAAGATATGAGAAATAGAAATGAATTGAGAGATAAATATAGAATTATAGATAACATTATACATACGAAAGATAATGATGGCAAATTTGTGTCAACGACTTGGTATGACTATGAGGATAGTTTTTATTATTTAAAGTTAATGTACGAAAAGCAGAAAAGTTTTAAGCAAGTTCATTTAGACGAAGATAATTTTGGATATTTATCAATTCGATGTGGACTCATTTCATATTCAGAGTTGCCCAATTCATATGATGGAATATTTGGTGTCAGTGGAAGTTTAAAAGCTCTGTCGGCCGGTGAAGAATCTTTACTAATCTATTATAACATTCATAAAAGATCTTATTATCCATCATTTTTTGGTGGATCAAAATTAAAATTTAGTATACCGAATGATTTTGTTATTAAAGATTGCAAAAATGATTGGTTTGATAGCATTGTTACCCGTGTTCGACGAAGAATTGCTGAAGATCGATCTGTTTTGATATTTTTTTACAATGAAAAGCTATTGGACGAATTTTTTACTTTTTATTCAGGAGACTTACGTGTTGTTCCATTTTATATTACACAAAATAAGATTTTTGATGGGCATAAAGATAGAGTTTATAGTGATATTTATGTGGATAAATTAATTAAAGATGAATATGCTGGACATCATGGAAAAGTCACTTTACTAACGAGGGTATTTGGAAGAGGCGTTGATTTTCAAGCAGAAGCAAAGGTAAACGAAAAAGGTGGTATTCATGTAATTCAAACATTTTTCTCAATGAATGTCAAAGAAGAAATCCAAATAAAAGGAAGAACAGCAAGAAAAGATGATCCCGGAAGTTATGAATTAGTCTTGTGTCGAGAGCACCTAGAAGAGCCTGACTCCGTAGGAATGAAAACTTCGAAATTTGTAAATATAACAAAAGAAACAACTTATGATGAGTTAGACAAACAGAGGACAGAAATAGTTGATTTGTTTTGCCGAGATAAACTTAAAAATATTCAAGCGAATAAAAACCGTCACGAACTTACGGTATCGTTTTTTGAAAGAGCAATTACTGAATGCAACGAGAACAATCGACAGGATTTTATAAAAGAAATTAAGACATTGTAGTATTCTATATATCGCACAGCTAGTAAAATAAGTATTATAAAGGGCATTATATAAGAGAATATATATGCTGACGATTTGAAAACTCTTCAATGTCATTTTTCCTTGACACAACCTGTGTGTGCTTGTTTTGTATGTTGTATTTTTATTCTTTTCCATATTGTTATAAATATTTTTTGCTTTGTATCCACCATTTGTTTGTGTAGTACTGAATGTATCGTTTCTGTTGTTTTTTCCAAATAATGTTTCACGAAAACTAATAGCATTTCCTGGCGAAACAAATTCAAATTGGCACACCGACTGATTAAACTTATGTACGACTATTAAATTCGAATAACTCAAGAATAAGACCAGTTAACAAAAAAAGAACTCATTGAACGGCTGAATAAAAAATTTGGATATGATGAATTTGAATTTTATTAAATTAATTCCCTAATCGAAAAAATTATCATCTCGAATGTAATGGGCTCATAGAAAGAATCGACAGCACATCTTTTTAAATGAGTTGCAACTTATGAAAATCAACAACAAAAAATAGAGCTATGTTTAATGGTTAAATTATCCTTGATTGATAAGCAGTATGTTACAGCATTAAGCAACAACGAGATGCTTCAAAAAGAATTTGCGGAAATATTCAATCGAACATAAGACAATGTACGTTAGTTATCGTCATTTCAATAATGTATATGTTTCAAGAATCCACTTTATTATTTAATGCAGTTAACAATGTAAGATGTGTGGGTGGTACAATGAAAAAACAATAATACGCTCAAACCCAATATTCGCCATTGGTTGGCTTCAACAGTTGTAATCATGTGTACGCCACCAATATAAGAGAAGCGAACAGCAGTAGATAGTACTATAGAATGGAACGCTATTTTTGCTTGTTGTTGAAACAATGATGAAAAATAAAAACCACTGCATTCGATGATGAATCGTAGGAGTTATTTCTGGCACGCATTTCGGTTGAGATACTATTTTACTCTTCGATTGCCACAAAGTTTCATACATACTCAATCAACAAAGATGACATAAGAACAGCTGTAGCTGACTGATCCAAGTAATTTTGAGGGTGTGGGTGTTGGTGTCGGGCATGGTTGTAGTGTGGGGGGTTAGTGTTGATCATCTCACCACAGCCCCGCGCACACCCAGGCTACTCTTCATTCACTTCCCATGCACAGTGCCAATTAGACTAGCTATCAGGTTATTCTCGAGCAACTGTTGGCGGATTGCGAATGCAGTCACCAAATCAGGGATGGCTCAGTCCAATTAAACCATAGTGCTCTATACAAAATCGAAGATAAGCGGCATAAACTTGAGTCTTATGAGAAGATTTAAGCTCTCGTTGAAACACGTGGATCGATGAGTTAAATATTTTATTCAGAAGTAAATAGGAGAAGACAAAAACACACGCGTAAACTACTATTGGTGGAATAGTTCAGGGAGGGTAAGATTTTCTTTTTATGCGAGAATGTATATCTTTTTTAAATGTTTATTGGGATGTTTCTATATTATCTTACACTTATTTATTTATAATGTAAGTTGATCTTGTGCCGATATTGATTGCACGCTTCGATGATTCTCCTTCCTCTTCCTTCTGTTCTCTTTCCATTGGTGTAATATCTCTCTCTCTTGTCTCTCTTCTATCTCTCTCCTATATATACGTGTGTTNAATCAAAAAAGAAGATAATCAACGCAAAGAAAGAAAGAGAGAAATCACTCTTGTGCTTGTAAACATAAAACAAACGAAACGAAAAGAAGAAATACAAGACATAGCAAGAGAGAGAGAGAGAAACAAAAAAAGGGGCATCGTAACCTGTTGTATAACAACTATCGATTACGATGAAAAGGAATGACAGAAAAGAAACGAATAAGTCTAAGAAAACCAGTTAGCGTCGTACAGCGACATTTTACGACGCTAACAGGGAGTAGGGAAGTTCACATCATCCAGGCGCTCATTGCGAGACTCACGAGGGTACATAACATCATAGTGTTCGCGTGCTGCTTGATGCCGTCGCTCTTGGTGACCATACCATTACATGCTGCATTCGTTGAATCGACAGCGGTGATGGTTTGACTGTTAGAGCTGAGTGTGACACTGGACCCACCGAATGACGCTGTGTAACCAGTCGGAGTGCTCACGATAAATGTTGTGGTGGAACTTGTACACTGATCACTCAGCCCGCTAGTGACCTGCAAGGAGCTCGTTGAATATTGTGAAATCACCAGACTCCCGCTAAAACAGCAACACATCGTCGTGTTGCATATGCTCCCAGAGGTGCTGTAAGTGCCAGTCCATGTCTGCGACTTGGCAACAGCAATAATGGATGCCATGATGAGGAGAGAGAATATTGACTGCATGATTGCTGATGAAGGAAGTTGAAGATTCTAAGCAAAACGAAAAGTTCAATGCCAGTCGTTGCTTTTTAAACTCGAATTTTCCCACGACGCAGCCCACAAAAGAATGGCGTATTATTGTTCTATCATATCCTAGTAACCGACGGCAATAACAAGTTTTCATTGTAGCGAAACCTTAAAACAGCTCAGTGCTTGTGCATCATCCCGATTTTCTCATTGTACATAACTGTTTTCTCCTATGTCAAAGTAGGCCTTGGTGTAGCCCATTTGAAAATTTAAGCAAAAAAGCTACCTTACAATAGCTTACATTTTTAAGTAATCGAAAAGCGTTCCCAGATGCTTTGAACCTTTGGCGACTCAAGGTTGATTTAGCACAGGCTTTCGAGGATTAGACAAATATTTGATCGGTGACATATATACTGGTTTCAAGCGGAAAAATGACGTTCAGGTCAAAAATGCTTAAAAACTAACCTTACGATACACACACTAAACAAATAAACAGTAACGACAATATCCCGTTCCCTCAATAACGTCAAACCACTGTAAAAATGAATTTACAGCGGAAAAATGAAAAATCAATGGGAAAAATAGTTTAGATAAATGAAAGACCATCTTTACCATAGAAGAAAAATGCTATTGTGAATGATCGTTAGTAAGAATATGTTTATATATCCTGGCAGAAAAATAAAAACTCAATGGGAAAAATAGTTTAGATAAATGAAAAACCATTTTCCCATAAAAGAAAAATGCTATTGCGAATGGAGGATTAGACAAAACCTTGATCGGTGGCAAACGCTCGTTTCAAGCGGAAAAATGAAGTTCAGATCAGAGACGTGCACAGGACAGCTTTTTCTATCCTGTCCTTTCCTGTCCTGATAGCTATCCCTGTCCTGGCGGGCGTCAGGACAGGCCCAAATTTGAAATTTCATCCTGTCCAGGTTTGTCCTGATCGTGAATTCCGTGCTGGCGGGCGTCAGGACAGGACACCAGGACAGCAGGACCGTCCTGCCCTGTGCACGTCTCTGGTTCAGATCAAAAATGCTTAAAAACTAAACTTATGATAAACACACTAAACAAATAAACAGTAATGACAATATCCCGTTCCCCCAATAACGTCAAGCCACTGTAAAAATGAATTTATAGCGGACAAATGAAAAGTCAATGAGAAAAATAGTTTAGATAAATGAAACATCGTTTTTCCTAACGAGAAAAATGCGTTCGTATGTAATCAAAATGAACGTACAGGTATTCGCGATAAGAGAAAAAAGATTTTGCACGATACGAAGGATGTTGCGAAAATTTACAGTCGGTTAGATTTTGGTTGACTTTGGTTAAAACAATGATTGGTAAATTTGCATGAAGATGGGATGCCGAAAATCATTTACGATATAAGCGAAAACTTTCATAGTTTGGTGGTGATGCATGACGAATGTCAAAGTGCTGATACGAAATTTGGTGCCAATGAATCGTTGGGAGAGAAGGAATGTGAAGAATGAAAATAAAAATGAAAACTACTCATATCTGGTGTTTGTAAAGTTCTGTATAGCATGGAATATGTTGTATATGCACGGATATCTTTTCTGAACAGTGATGACAAAAGTACTCGATATGAATTTAGTATACACACGCTGACTTATACTTATATAGTTTGTCTTCTGTTATAGACAGAACGGGAAAAGAATTCATTTTTGACCTGAACGGCATTTTTCCGCTTGAAATGAACATTTATATCACCGATCGATTTTTTTCCTATTGCTGTTTTAATTCGACAGGATCAACTCTAAAGTTGGCAGACTACATAGATATTTTTGGGCATTAAAACTAGTCGGGTGTGGGTGTGTTGCCTTGTCTGTGTGCATCTGGGGCTAGCGTGGCGATGAATGTTGCTTACTGGATTCTTTCGCAAATATTCTTAACCCAGCGAACACATTTCAACGTACACCCGGACCCCACCCCACACCCTCAATTTTTGTCACAGAAAGTGCTCTTTGAAATTCTAGTACAGTCAAAATATCAGCTTTCTAACATGATTTCTTCATGAAATATCTAAATTCATATCATGGATCGAAACCGAAACGGGTACTTGCAAATCAACTCGAGTTTTTTTAAAGTTTTCATTGTTTCTTTCAACTGTTTCTCGACCTTGACCGCTATTATCAATTGTTGCATGAAAATGATACAACTTTCATTCATTGCAGTGAATTCTCGTCTTGCCAAACGCATATTCACAGTTCCATGCAGTTCAGCTGCGACCAAGCGCCAATTTAGCACAGCCGGTCAGATTGTGACTCAGAGGCGCTCGAATCTCGATCCTTCAACAGCCAACAATTTGATTTTCTTGTGTTCCATTGACAACAACCAACGATGAATCTAGCTTGAAGTATTTTTTTTTATGCTGACTCATTCTTATGAACTTTATTAATTTTGTAAAGTATCGTTGTTGTTGAAAACCCCTGCTATTGTCAATTATTATTGTTCAAAAAAATCCGCAGCTGACAATGAGCCACATTCACACTTTAATTTTTGGCCACGATTTAGCTGGCGTCGTGGCCAAAAAAAATGAATGGCTGTTGTTTTTCAACCTCAAATATATCACTTGAAGAAAAGAATAACTTACTGGCATCTTTCTCGGTTACATATCGACGGTGGCACATCTCTTCGTTAAGAATGCCATGTCGCATCGCAGGAATGAATGAAAGATCCTTCGATCGATTATCAAGGATGGATTTGGTCAGTTTTTTTAAGTCTTTTGCTTGAACAGCTATATCGTACACATTGGTACCTAAAAGAGAAATCATATATGATCAGATTTGTAAGTAACTGTTTCCACGATGACTTACTTGAGATGCGTAGCTTTCTTGCTTCATGCCACTGATCTGATGATGACTGCCCACGAGTGATTTGCTCAAGATTTGATATTTAAATGGATGAAAGATAAACATGATCTTTATAATATTTTAACATTAATGAATTTAGAATAAAGTTCAGTGAATTTGGAACAGCAACAATAATACGAGCAGGAAGACTAATAAAAGAATTTTTGTCTTCACCTGGTAATAGAAAAAAGGCAGCAGCACTTGATTGTTGATCATACTTAATGAGTAGTTGATTTAAAGTTGTTGATGCTTTCGGTACATAAGTGTAATTTGCCAAAAATTTAGAATATTTTAAATTTTTTTCTTCGCTTCTGTTGTGGTGGAGACGTGTAAATCTTATATTCAATAGTGGCACGCGATTCGATGATTTTCGCGTTGGTTGATACCATTGGTGTAATCTCTGTGTGCATGCCTCGTATAGTTTATTTTGATCATAGTCGAATAATGCAAAACTAAGTGCAGCTAAATGTTTACATGCAACTCGTAGTCCATTTCCTGCGACGCATTCACATGTACTTTCAAGTATATCAGCTGGACGATTTGTATTGGTGATCATATTTATCTGATATAAAAAGATGAGATACTGTAATATATGAGACGAAAGTTAATCAACCGATGGTACCTGATATGCTGTTGATTTTTTCATCTGAGCACGGCACTTTGTAGAAATCGTTCTTATTGTATATTGTTTGTAAATATTAATCGAGTCCACATAGTGATCTTTGAATAGGAGGTTTTCATCTTTCAAAGCACCACGGTTATGACTGCCATCAGAAGCTAATACTGAACAGAAATATTCTGTGATTGAACCTAGATCGATGTTGAAAGGTCTCTTGTAGTCGATGACTGAGATAGAAGTGATAGTAGATGACATTGTCATAAAAACATTAGAGTAAAAACTTCATAAATGAACTGTTTAATTCGAAATGTAACGCTACATATTAAAAATAATGTTCCTTTTAAATTGGATTACATGAATACATCTTTCATCAACGGTAGACTAATTAACACTAATTGGTAGCATTGTTCGCTACCTAGCACTAATTATCTTTCTTTCATTTGATAATGGAAAGAAATGACTAACATTTATTGTATGTTCACTTGTATATTCAGTCTACAAATATTACACTTCATATTATCTCTTCAAAGAAGACCAGTTGAACAAAAAATATGGTTAAAAAATGTGTTGCATGTTGCAATCGAGAGAATCGCTTCAGTAATATTTCATTTCATCGTTTCCCAACAGACTGAATTGAGCAACAGCAGTGGCTGACACGACTCAAGCGTCTTGAAATTAAGGATGTTTCAAACAAGAGAGTTTGTGCTATTCATTTCGACGTATCATCGTTTATAGTTCAATCAAAAAAGAAAAACAAACAAACACGGGCTCCAGATAATAAAAAACGCTTGAAGAAAGATGTTCTACGATGGAATGTATTTCTGATTTACGTCTGACCGATTGTGGAACTCAAACCGACCTTGACATGATCTCTTTATCAAATTTATTCGAGAAGCTTACACTTTTGGAAAGTAATATCATTAATTTCTCAATAGATATTGAACCTTTTCAAAATGATGATTATAATATCAACTATTTCACCGGTTTTCCTTCGTATAAAATTTTCAGAATGGTATTTGAGCTATTACAAATAAGAAAATTGACATCCTGATGTCTTCTCAAGTTTTTGATAATACTCACAAAGACACGTTATTTTCTCATCATTCTTTCTTGAATTTAGGCTCAGTATGATGAACACTTTATTCAATATACAAGTCGTGATGACCCAGCACTGTGTCATTCAAAATCCATTGATAACCACAAATTATCAGCGGAAAATCAATTTTTTGTTTTCATGATTCAACTGTGTCGAGCGACAGACGAACAGGAACTAGCAAGTTTTAAGAATTTAATCATCCATTTTGAATCCATGAACTATTTTAGGCAATATACTTCAATATTTCACAATCTACTGTTAGTCGTATGGTCATCTCGTGGACTCTATTTGTCTATTCAGTAGTTTCGTCGATCAACCTGTGGCCAACAAAAGATCAGATACAACAAGCTCTCCCATTCGAGACGAGGAAGAATTATCCTTATGTTCGTGTGATTGTTGATTGTATGGAGTTTGAAATCGAGCAGCCAGCCAACCCCCAAACTCAACAAGACACATGGTCAACATATAAGAACACAAGCACTGCAAAAGGTCACAAAAAACAAATATTTATCTTCTCATATTCTTCTCTTTTTCTTACAGGATTAGTTGGCATTACGCCAAATGGTATTGTTTCTTATATCTCACCTTTATATGGAGGTGCTACTTCTGACAAAGCCATTATCAATATGGATGGATCTCAGAGTTTGATCGAGTTATTAGAAGATGGCGATGATATAATGTCTGATCGCGGCTTTTCTCTTGATTCCAAATATACTCACCTTACACTCATCCATCCACCATTTCTTGATCGACAGAAACAACTATCATCGCAACAAGTTTTACAAACACGTATTATTGCGAGGCACCGCATCCACGTTGAACGTTGCATGGGTAGGATAAAAAATTTCAAACTGTTGAATGGCATCATCCCATTGAAATCTATATATTTATTAGAATATTGGTTCTATATTTGTACTTTTTTTTACTATATTCGATGAGCCTCTTGTGAAGATATTGTAAAAGCTTTTCTTGTGTAATCCCAAAGTATTTGTTTTTGTTGATTTAATTATTTATTCAATAAAATTCTGACTCTCTCAATACCATTATTTTCCTATGATATAAAAACATTACGTTTAAAATAAAATCATACTCGGAGATATCAAACTATTCATTTCTATTCGATATTGATGCAAGGTATATTTGATTATCATTTTTAATCGATTGAATGGATCATTATCAACAGAAAGAGGATGAAAGAGAGTAGCAGAGAGAGAGAGAGAGAAAGAGAAGAACAAGAAGAGAGAAAAAAGATCAGAAGAACGAAAAAGATCAAAAAAAAGTGTTGGTGACGAAATGATTGTTGAAAAGTTGTTAATGAGAATGAATGATCGATATAAATGAACATGTTTTGGCCACGATTTAGCTGGCATCGTGGCCGACAAGCAAAGTGTTAATATGGCTCATTCGTTGTTTGAGTCGAGTCGAGTCGAATCGAATCGAATCGAGCTGGGTGTTTTTTTATTCGTTTCGGTCTATCATTCATACAGTACAGCAAAACTGATCATTTTACTGCGCATCTCTTAGTATTGATGATCTAATTTCTTATGATTATTACATCAAGTTAAGGCATGTAAACACTGAGCAGCTCAAGCAAAACGGATCTGTTTTCACTGAAATATGTTTACAGTAAAAGACCAAACAAATGCACTCTTGTGGATAGCGTTCTCAGCAACATTTACGTACTTTGGGAACTGAGCAGTATGTTTGTCAACAATTTACGTCAAAAGTGTTAAAACTTTTATTTCCAGAACATATTTCAACATTAGAAAACTGTAACTGCTTTGATTGAAGACAAATTCTGTGATGTTGCATGAAAATTGACTTATAGAACGGCATAAATGAAATTATAACTGCGTTACTCAGTAATTTTTGCCTCACCCTTTTTATTCAAGAAAAAAGGATCGGATTCGCGAATATGTCATTTCATTTTCCGATCCTTTCTATTTTCATGATATTCTAGTATCCGGAATACTGTGGCGATCAATGCGATTCATACAATCCAGCGGATACGATGACAATCCAGAGGACCCACAATCCTGGGATCCACTTTTCCCCCGTGCTATTATTTCATAAGATCCGTTATATGGTTTGTTGCACTGCTATTATGAATTAAAAATACAATTTCGTTATATATATATATATTAGCGTACAGTTATGTTGATATCTGTTGAGAGAAAACCAGAGAGTGGCCATTGAAATAGTTCGAAGATAGGCAAAATTCCAGGAAAATGTCAACATGGAGAGCCGTCACATGAGGAGCGAAGTAAATGGCAGCGATCAGTATTTGTACCAACCATCGGCTCTGGCATATTGGTTGGTTGAAGTCCCAGTATCATATGCCAAAGATGATCAAGACTTCCTCCGAATCATTTCACACCAACTCTCCCAGGCTCTTCTTGATCGTGATGTGTGGTACAATAAGAATCTTGGCTAGCATGATATAGTTTTGACCACTGTTCATAAGTGTAGTGATGAACCCGTTGCTTTGTTACGTAGAACTGCGCCCAACAATACGTTTGAGATAATACTATCATCTTTCGAATTGTGCATATGAGGGTTCAATTGGAGGTCAGCATTGAAACCTAATAATTGCAACAAACGACGTGCGCATCGATACATCAAAGACTCGTTGAACGGCGGACTACGGTCCCAAGAAGTCTAATGTCGGTTCTGTATCCATAATGAATTGATATTGGTATAATGAACATCGTCGCGAATACACAAAGCTATTCGGATCGGATCTTTAGAATGAACAAATGGATCTCCATGAAGGAAAAGAATTTTCTCAGGTAAATTATAATAGTAATCGTATATGAATTGCAGATAAACATCAGCCTCTTCGTGAACTTTTAGACAATACGACTAGCTATATGGCCGTCTAGACTGAGCATCAAAACGCTGATACAAAAAAACACGATATGGTGTGACATCTGTAGCGGTCTTATTAAGTCCTGAGCGAAACCAGAGTGGCCAACTCGACGGAGTGCTCCAGTTAATTTCTTTCCATCTTGCTGGGACTAAGACTAGTTTATTAACAAGCCAGATTCTTGAAGGTTGGTTTCTCATTTTAGTCTTTTCACTCATTGAAAAAAACGACGAGAGCGTGGCAGGAAATAGATTTTTAAAGTTTGAATTTTCCTTGATATAAAGAAAGCCTCTCGTACAGAATAAAATCGACCCCGCAATCGTCAGACGGACACAACGAGCACACATCAGTGAATTTCAATATAGTTCGGGGTGGACCAATTCCAATTCGAGTCAATTCAGTTCCTAAAATTGGTCGGAAATAGGAATGCACCAGTACCAGTATTACTGGTCACCAGCAGTGTTTCCAATAACAAGTGTACACAGCAGAAGCAAAATCTACAGAACATCTGCTACTTTTGACTTACACTCTGCTGTACACTTTGCCAAAGCATTTTACACTTTGATTTCTGAATCTTAAAAGTTGCACGTAATATTAAATCACGCATTAATTATGCATAAATAATGGTGAAGTGGGATCTCCTCGGTTCAATTCTATGATGGACTGAATAGAGAAAATAAAGCTGTTAGCGCAATCTCTGTGGGATTAAAATGTGAAACACGATGAAACTCCTTTTCTGGAATCCGTTAATCCCGGTCGGTGATGGTCTCTGGAGCTTCTCTGTTACTGCCTGTATGATGATGTATGGAGTCTCTAGAAACCATCACAAACCGTTACCGAGAAATTAAGCAATTAAGCAAGTATCTAATTAATTAATTTCTCTGTAATGGTCTGTGTGGGGAGGGGGGTCAACATTTCTACCCTATATACTTCAGCACTCCTTTCAGATCGTGTTTCACAAAAACTAATCATTTATTTAGGTTGTTAGATTGTGCAAAGTTAGGTTCTCGTACACTTTGGTACATTTTACCGACGAAAACAATGTGTACACGTACACCTTGCTCATATAACACAGAGTGTACAGTTCATTTTGCCTTAGATTTCAATTGAAAAGGGTGTGGGTCTGGGTGTTATCTTCTAGATCATTTGATCACATCCGCACCCACACACCCATACTCTCTCTATAAGAAGGAAATTCATAATTAGCTATGAAAGAGTATTAATTCATGGAGTATAACTAGTTTGATTGAAATATTCCATATCTAGTTTAATAATTCTAAACTATCATCTATTCTTCTCAGAACGATTAGAAAACAATTTCGTTCAGCATAAGAATAATTCGTATCATGTATGTTTGTGTCATCGTCAATTATTACAGAAAATATTTTCCAGGGGTTGAATGGAAAGTGAAGCCAAGTAACTTAAACTAAAGATAAAGGTGGTTTTCTGCTCTTCATTCTAATTCTCGCATGTATCCTCTATTTACGTTACAGGTGATATAATCAGCAATCAGTTGATATACCAAAGCTATGGTGTTGGTAATGTAAATAATATTGTATTGATGCAACCCTACTGGTTTCTAGCATTATAGTTCGTTTGTAATCTAAAAGCATTTCTACCACAAAGCAGCTGCTCATATGGGAAAAAACACCACAAAATATCTTGACGTAATTATATAGAGGACTTCAAGTATAAAGACGCGACGTTATAACGTAGACTTTCTTTTCAACAATACACTCGCTTCCACATTCACACCCATCCAACATGACCAGCTTCTAAGGCAAGAACATTAGTATGTATTTTGGATCAGACGTTATTTTCTTAATCATCTTTTAATAACTTCTGATAATCTCAGAGTTATATCTGTTGAGTTTTGTCGGAGTTTTAATCCATTTGAAGTCAACTATGCTAACTTACAAGAAAAAAAGATTTAATTGAAAATTGACTAAATCATTTAGCACTGAATTTCACAACAAGCGAATTTTTCTTGAACATCAGACTTTTCAGTTATTTAAGTTCTGTAAGATTTTCTCCAGCCAAACGATGTTCTATTCGAAATAAAAATTGTATGTTCGTGATCAGTATTGTAAGTTCTATGAAACCATATGTAAACGAACGAGAAAAAGTTCATTCGAATTTTACATTTTCTGCATCTTACTTCAATATCTGTTCAAGAACTTTCTCATCGAAAGAAGTTGCTTGACAACATTCACATAGTTTACTATATTTGTTATTCATCATTACTAATTTTTACACATTTACGTGATTAACTTTTGCCAACGCAAATATTCATATACGTCGCAAGTTAATATTCAGACATACATGAATGATTCTTGTTTATTTATAGTGATTCATTAATGATTCATTTCAATGTGATATAAAAACGGTACGAAGAGAGTCGAAAAAGCAAGGTAATTAAAGACAAAATCAAATGTCAGCAAGTAAATCTGAAGTTAAAAATCATTTGACAACAAACAATGTCGAACATCTTACATCACCATTAATATTTACTGATGAAAGTGTTCATTCAACAGATTCTGATATTACTAATGATGCATCAATTAATGCGAAAGAAACTCATCAAAATTCATTATCAAACCCTGAAGTTGATGAATTAGCTGATCAATTAGGTGCATTAGATTGTAGTAAGCATCTTTTAGATCAACAAGAATCAAATTCGAAACACATTCAACACGATAATTATGCACAAATTCCTCATGAACAAGATACAACGATGGAACATACAAAATCACCTACACTATCTTCATCAGACTCTGCTACTAATAATGAAAATCATTCTTCTGAAAACTCACCACTGATTAGTACTCATGAATATCCACCTCATATTATTACAATCGTTGAACAACAAGAATCATTACCACAAAATTCTCCATATGAAACTATTGAAAATCAGTCTTTCTATAAATTGCCTTCTGGTGAATCTGTTTCAGTCGAAGGAATTAAACAATTACTACAAGAACTAACAGCAGAAAATACGGTTTATGCATATGATGTTCCTCGTACTATAACTATTATTAAAGATCCATATGTGCATGATACTCATAGTGATTCAAATATAGCATCAAATGAACATGTTATAGGCACAGAACCAATTTTCACTATGGAAAATGGCCATGTACAAACGACTCCCATGGAACCAACACATTTTTCATCAATAAAAAATCATTATTATGATTCCCAAGTTATCGACTCGAATGTTGATAGTGAACCACCAATAACTTACGAGATAAATGATGAATTAAATGAATCTCAATTGATAATGGATGAAAATGGTGAATACATAGAAATGCATGCAGGACAAACCATCGTACCTGATGAATATTATCCGAATATAAGTGACATTTACGAATCCAATGTTTTACATGAAGAATATAGTTATAATTAGCCCTTCGTTTTTTTCCTCTCTGTATGACAGTAATCCTAAAAGACATTGCTTGCAACTAGGAAGCTTCGCTATACATCATTTAAATAAATTCAAATATTTCACATGAAAATATGCTATATATATTTGCATGAGGTTATAAATTGTTAAACCGAAATATAAACAGATAAAAATAATAGTGGAAGGATGTAATTAAATATTGATGAGTTGCCTTTTATGCTTGACTTTGTGAGGCATACAGATGTGGATGCGAGACGTACGGGGAAAAGATTCTAACGCATACTTCACACACATTCCATACCTCAATTGATATTTATTATTTCAATATTTATTCGAAGAAAAATAAAAAGTGTGACATAAATATTATTCAAACAACATTTTCACTAGACTCAATTTTCTTGAGTAAATTTGGATAACTTGCATCAAAATCTTTTTTTTTGTAAAATCAATAAAGAGCGATTCAGCTGCAATCAGACGCAGTAATTTATCAGGATCGCATTGTTGTTGGATTCTTAGTGGAATCAGTCATTTACATTCCTTGCACGCATATGTTAATTCTTTACAAGAATTGTCCGATTATCCATATTTTTCAGTCATTCCGAAAAGAACTATTTGTAATTGTTCAACTGCTTTAGCCATTGCTCCCAATAGATACATTCATGCTTATTTTGGAATAAGAAAAGGAATTAGGATAAAATAAATTTATCATCAATCAATTGAAGTGTCTATAGATAAGTGCAAAAAATTAGAAAGCTCTGTCGGTATCGAACGGGGAACCTAAGCTATGTACATTGTTGTTATACATTTTTTGATTGTGCTTTTCATCTGATAATTAACAATACAATTAGAGTGATGTCATAATCCCGTTACACCGGGTAACGACTTTTTCTCCAGCTAAACTTACTTTATAAACATTCGGTGTATTACCCCTAGGATATCCACTTTCATTTAACTATATGTTTTAAAGTTGAGGAATTTGAGTTGTTTTGGGGTATTACCCTAAAGCGTAACAACTTGGATATCCTCGAAGAAATACACAAAAACAACTGGAATTTGCATAAGATGCTCAATTTGAATTTGAATATAATGGATTCATGTACTGCACAGTAACACTTCGGAAAAACTTAAGGCACAGATATTGCTACAGGAAAATGCAAATAATATCATTTTATCTGAATTATTTTTTAAATAATTTGAATTTAGGCATGCATATTACTGAGGCTGAAATGTATGGCATAAATTATGATTCCTAGGAGCCTTCCCTGGATTCCTGACAATGCGTAGCATTGTTAGATGGAAGGCTGTCGCTGCTGGAAGCAAGTCGGATGCTATTGCATGAATATCTTAGGCTTCTAAAAGAATGCGTGAAATTGCTGAAACCATGTATCATGTTGCTAAGATTATTCCTCGACTTCCGACATTCTTGCCTCACGTTACTGCCAGTACGAGTGGAGTCCTTCATGACACACTACAGGTACCGTAACACATACCTGAGCTGCTCGATACTTCATACAGGCTGCTGCAACTGTGCCTCATCTTGTTACAGGTATCCAAACCAACTTTCACACAAATTAACCTATACATCTCGGAGCACTCAATTTCTTACAGCAAACACAGGAATGCATCTAGCAACCTTAGGTATGCTTCTAGCAACCTTAGGTGTGCTTCTAGCAACCTTAGGTGTGCTGCTAGCAACCTCAGGAATTTTTTTAACAGGCTCAGGTATCCTTGTAGCAGACTTAAAGTCATCAATGGATTCTTCGGAAATCTCGTTCTTATTTTAAGTGGAATTAGGCAGCTGCTCCGAATTCCTCAACTTTAAAACATATAGTTAAATGAAAGTGGATACCCTAGGGGTAATACCCCAAAAAGAATTTGATGGGTATTATGACTTGGAAATCACGATATCCAGTGTAACGGTATTATGACATCTATGATGATTGTTGTAAATCTGATGATGAACGTTTATGAGTCATTTCTCGTACTATTTGATGAATACTTGGTTGTAGTTGTTGTTGATCAATTACTGATAAAACACGTGTGAATGACACAGAACGATTTGTAAATAATGATGAACGGCAGTTATTGATTATTTCTTTTAATTCCCTACCATTTTTCTTAAATCGACTATTTGCAACAAAAAGAGCTTCGATATAGTGAAATTATTTAAATTAAACAAGATTTTCTCTTTAATTTCCTTTTGATTTGAGATTTTCAGTTTTTTTTGCATGAACTTCAGCATATTTAGCTTATTCAACCATTGAATGTGCAGACGAGAAAAAACAAAACTATTCAGAATATATCTTCATTTAGGGCGTGGATGTGAGTGTGGGCAGACACAGGATGAATATTGACAAGCACACCCACACTCACACCCAATATACAGTATTCACACTGAGACTTGTTTGCCGAAGAGAAGTCAAGATACTTGATTAACTTGATTAATTGAGTGCTACGGATAAACATGCGTGCATGATGTTTGTAGGTGAATGAAGAGGCGATTAACATCTCACATTCTTTTGGATTAACAATATTTGAAAAATTTAACAATTAGTTTTCTTGTGAATAATGAAATATTATTTCATCAATGCTTGCTTCCTTCTTTTTTTCTTTTACTGTAGCGAACCATATTTTGCATGCGAAAGAATGAAAAACCATTTTTTATTGGTTGTTTTTCATGTTTATATGCAGTAAACTGATAGTTCGTATTCTTAAGATGTATTAACTTCATATAATAAAGCACTCATTCTCGAATATTTGATCATTTAGAGAAGAAAGATAAGGCAATGAAAATATTGTCGTTTCAGAACTGATTTATTCGAAGCATAAGCTAGAGATTTTCATTGAAAAATGGTCAGTAGTTGTACGTAGGTATTATAGATGGAGTCGATTTAGTTATTCAAAGTTGAAATCGAAAAAGATATTTCCCAAACTCTAATAACTGTGACTAAACCTATATAATCTTTATTTAAATTGCTTCGACTTATTACACAATGATCTTCATTTATTTTATTCATGTCAAAGACAGAATTAAACTTTAAATACAGTTTGTTACTCATTAGAGGCAAAAATTAGGAAATTATATTCTTTCATTTAAAAATAAGTTCTAATCTCCGTTGGAATTAGGGAAGCTTGATAGCGCAGCTTCTTTGAGGCTGAAATGTGGAATTGGTACGTCTTCAATAGCTTCATAATACTAATACATCAGTGGTAAGTGTCATCTTTTGTATTCACCTATTTCGAAGAGTTTTATGTGACTCACGTATGTTGTCGAAGAAAATCGATCGTGCAAGTTTTATACCGAAGGTTTTCGCCCTCAAAAGGGAACTTCCAATTTAGTTCGATGCTTAGATTAATCAAAAGATTAATCGCAAAAATGAAAAAACCAAAAGGACGCGGATATGGGTGTGCTGTGGATGTGGTCGTTAGTGTGGAACCTGTGGCTACTGACTTTTTTTTATCGAAGTGCACGCCCACACGCATCCTCAAGTTGAACACATGTTTTGGGTAATGTAAAAAACGTTTCAAATTCAAAAAATGACTTTATGATCTATGAATCAGCGTCAATTTTGCTTTACGCTGCACAGTAGAAAAGGCGTGAAAAATCGTTTTAAGTCTATTCTGAATGCAAAATTGTGTAAGGGAAGTAGACAAAACCTTGGATACTGTACTTTATTCGACTGGTATTCACTATATATATATATGGAACCGATACCGGTAACTGGCCGGTCGGATGCATACCATTCTGCCGTTCTACTCGTATTCATCGATCTATTACTTGCCTGAAACGGTTTCAAATGCTTCGTCTTCTAAAAAATGTTCATAATTAAAATTTGCAGAATGGAGTAGAACAAAATAGAAGGCCTTGCGAACAACATAATGTAGATTAACATAATGAAAGAGTCATGATCTTCTTGTGTGAGAATGAAAGGTACTCTGAGAAGGAGAACGTTGATTCAAAAATATCTATTTGATGGTGAATGAGACTACTAGCGGGTGCGAATATCTCTGTCGATGTATTATTTATCGAATATACCCACACCCACCGCATCTGTTAGTGCCAGTAGATGCCACTCTATGGCGTTAAGTTTGTTTACGATTCACTATTGGTTATTTTCTCTCATTCTGAGTTTATCTTGTTTTGATTTTTCTCTTTTGTTGATCGATTACTTTTTTAATTCTTTAGCAGACTCAACTCATTTGTTCTACTACACACATCCTTAACAAAAGCCTCATAGGATGGAATGATGGTTCAATGAATATATGTAACGAATAGGAACTTTGATCTGGATGGATGACACTGGCGGAAAAACATTCTACTAGAAAAAAAAATGCAAATACATTCGAAAGTTTGTAGGACATATACGCGAGTAATTTAAATATTTTCCTTTTGCTTGTTGAAATACTTATACCATCAACACATAGATAGGCGGTGCACCATTTCGGCGGGTGGTTTGAATGACCGATGTTAGTTTAATTGTGAATATTCCATAAATGAACAGTAGAAGGGACAGTGATATACTCCAACGAGCCTCGCAATCATTTTACATCCAAACCTGATGTAGACGCTTGGTCACTCTCGATGAGATGCATGTTGTAAAATGCCATGTAATGATCGTCTTTAAATGTGGTGATATCTTTTAGAAATAAACAAAGATAAAAGTGATAAGAAATTGTCGCCATGCTAGTGCTTATATTATTGAATGAGAGGACTTAAAAGTAAAAAATGGTCATCATGAGAAATAGATCTTGTTTAAGAGTTTTGTTAGAATGTAATTGTTGCATTAAAAACTGTGTAATATTTTCAGATCGAGAATTAGTTTCCCAGCGAAGTATACAAATTCTATTGTGATTTTTACAGTACTTGCTTTGATACTTGAGCATGGCTTCATCATTGCAACCAAAAAGAAATAAGAAAAAGCGGCAAAATGGTCTTCCCAATAGTCTTTTTACTCGTCTTCAACTTGTCATGGCTCTTGACGATTTTCCTGATCAATTGGAAGATGCTTCATCGTCATATGTAGACTCGTATGATGCTCGTGTTCTCGGTTCATGCACTCTTGCTTGGCATCTTCCGACGGATCCGCTAAGTGTTTCAAATTATCGTCGTTGCAGTGTTATACCCGGTCAAGTTCCATATTATGTTCCACCTTTGCTTCCCTGTCCTCTACCATCAGACTCTCGACCCAACAGCCGAATTGTAAAACCAACCCATGCTTCTATTCTTCCTCTCCTCTTAACTGCTCGTCAGGTTCGTGTTGATGTTCGACAATATGATTTTGTGAGTGAAAGAAATTCCCTTCGTAAATTCATGCTGAATGATGAAGATTACATAATAAGTGTCATGCGATTCGATAATACAATATTTTTGAGACGCCACGCTGCGTATCATTCCATCGACAGGAATGATAAGGGATATCGATTCGAAGAAATGTGTACTACTACGAGCAATTATTTGGATGGTGATTACCATCAATTGACCGAAGGACGAATTGGTGAACTAAGGACGCTTATTTTGGCTGAAACAGACGCCATCAAACAAGAGAACGGAGAAGCAATTGAATTGAAGTGCCATAAAAATCTTCCGGGAAAATGGATGCAGCATGATTGGTGGTCACAATCATATCTGAGTAAGTAGAACTCAAGCATTAACAGTTGCCAAATGATCAGTTTTATTCAAACGTAACAGACTTTTTTTCTGTAGCACATTCATAGTTGTGATTCTATTTCCGGCGAATCATGCCTTGAATTTGCCATCGTCAGAAATCGAGCACAATGCTTCTTGATTGATAGATCTCGCATCATATTATTTTTCAGATTACTGCATAGTTTGTTAATATGTGTCCCTTAGTGAACCTAGAAACAAATACAACGAAATTAAAATATTTAAATCCTTTTTGCCTGCATATGTACTACTCAAGATCTATTGTGCCAGTCTTATAGATGGTGTTGAAATATTTTAAGATGCAGACATTACAATGTCGCTATCGATCAAATGTTGTCAAGGTTTTGAAAAGGAATCACTTTGTGGCGTGTGCGTAGATTAAAACTAGAGAGACACCAACACTGCCTAGTCTCGTATTTTAGAAGCTTACGTATCTTAACAAGGAAGTTTCAACAATCTCAATTCTACTGCGTTTTATTTTAGTTCTACTAAGATTTGTACTTTATGAAAAAAGTGATCTTGACAACTATCAAAGGCAATAATCTATTCAAGCATTAACTATTAGTTATACAAAATAAAATGTTAAAAAATATTGCGTCAATCGTAATCGTATTCATAAATTCTTCATAGCGCTTGTAGTTCTCGAGTTACAGTTTTACCTCTTTCCATTTCATCATGCAGTATATAAAAGTGAAAGAAATGTGTAAGAGGTTTAGGCATAAGCCTCGGTTTTTCTATAGTATTGCTAAAAATATAAAGATGCCACTTATATTTCAGGTGCTCACGCACACTTGAAGTGTCTTTCGTAATTAGAGAAAGATTTATACTCGAGCGAAGAATTGTTTCTATGATAACATAATCTAATACTTTGATTTAGGTGGAACAAATACGATTATTCATGGTCGTCACTCGAACAATCAAGCATCAGAAATTTCTCATCTAGTTGAATATCGAGTCTCGCAATTGAGCGATAACCAATCAAAGATCGAAAGTTTCCAACGTCTCCATCGAATTCTTCAATTTCTTCGCTATAATGTGGTTGAAAGACGAACTTATTTGTTACGTCGGCATCATGATCCAGTAGCGACAAAGAGTGATTTGTATTTGTATGAAGTAGTGAACGAAGCGGACATAAAAAAGCTGATGTTCATCACACGGAATATACTTCACCAACTAGCTGTCAATAACTGAATTCGTATTTTTTGCATTAAATAAAATCTGAATCAAGAGAACAAAAATTAGGTGGGGTATTAGTTTGATGGGTGGCTGAGGGTGTGTGGGGTATGTGGGGTGTGTGGGTGTGGGTGTGGGTATGGGTACATTACAGAAGTTCTGATCTGTACATCCACACCCCAAGAAGAAACAGAATATGAAGGTGGTCGAGAAAGTTATCAAGAAAATGAAGATTACAAAGGAGCAACATTATTAGCATTACTTGATGATGAATTAAATGGATGGGTAAAGAAAATAGATGTTTCGGATCAGTTATTATATTCATTTTTTAAGGTTCATCATGTTCAATATATTCTTCCAGAAGGACGAGCAAAATGGTGACATCCAGGTGAAAATGCGGATAAAGAAGACGAAGGATCACCACTATTAACACCCATTGGTGGTGATGCCGAAATACAAACTACAAAAGCATGGGGAGCTAAAATTTCCTCCCATCTGATTCGACAGCTTGCATGTGCTTGTGTTCGATCCAATCTTTGAGCGGGCATCTATGCGTTTGCTCGTGGAGCTGTTTGGGAAAATATTTATGTTGGTTTTCGAGTGATTATGAACCAGAATTACCACCATTATCAACCAATGAATATAGAGATGTATCAGAAATTGGTGAAGCGGAAGATCCATCGCCGGAGGAAGAAGCTAAAATTCGAGCGGCAGAAAAACCAGCTGCTGATGAAGATGAAGAAAAAGATGATGATTAATTTTTATAAAATGGTTCTAAATTCTTTTTTTTTAATACGAGTATTTATAAAAGAAAAAGTTTATTATTTATCCAGTCGATTGTTGGATAAAACAGAAAGCTCAAGATACTTGAGTTAGCAATATGATTTTAAAAAAAATAATCTCCCAACAGCAGCAATAGCAATAATAGTGCAATTTTATGTTTTCTGAAGGTTAGATGTAATCTTGTGTCTTTGACTATGCACAATGGATAGATAAAAAAAGAGTTGATTCATTCAACAGTCGATACAGCACGATTTTGCTACACTGTATGGTGCGCTTGAGAAAAATTGCTTCCTGTGATATTTGATCCTATTTCAAGTGATCCGATAATACCTGTTTTTCTATAATAGGCGACTGTTATACCAATCGTGATTTATTTCATATTTTTCACAATAAATTCCTATAGAAATAAGATGGCGATGTATAATTTTCATCGTTCGATAGTTTCTTATCAAAAACGAAACAGCTAGTAACTTTTGTACAATACTAATGATAAGATTATTTTCACAGGGATTGATAAAAAACTTGTTAAAGAAATGTTAACGAAACGAAACAAGACACTTTCATCGCCTCTCTCGAACGATGAAGAACACATCTCTCCAACTTTTTCTATAGAAATTGATTGCGAGAAATATGAAATAAATCGTGATTGATATTGCAGTCGAATATGATACAAAAACACAGTTGTTAGCGAAATTTAATTTATATGATGAAATATTACAGAAAGAAACCTACTTTAATTAACTTTTTTCTTTTATCAAAGAGGAGTGCATATTGAACTAACAGATCTGAATACTTCTCGCGTATACTTCTTTATTCAATCTGAGACTACTCATGCATGGTTACTGATTGTAATAAAGACTAGCGATATGTGTGTGACAATGATATCCTACACACAGCTGAAAACGAAAACTTGAAGAAAATTGAGTGACTTTAGCGACACTAGTCATAATGATTGTGAGAATACTTGTATCTTATCTCATCTGTTGCCGAAATTCACCGCAGCTGCACGTGTTGATGAAATTAAGACAAAATGAAGTTGAAGTAAGATCAGCAAAATAACTACAGTCACATCAATAGTTTTAGAAAGACATATTGATATATGTAAAACAATTGTAATTTGAATCTTTCCTTGTTGTGAATTATCTTCAAGTCGGAACGGTATGCCATCAATTTTGTTTCTAATTAATTGAAAACTTTAATCCGTTGTTCACAACCATACAATTGTTAGATGGACTTCTATTTCAATTATTACAAAAAAAAAAGATTTTGGTTTAGATCGAACTACTAGAACTGCATAGTTGATAGACTACAGATAAAGGTAGGTGTGTAATTTACAATATCAAAGGCCAATATCGAGTATGAAAAATTTGAACAAACTGGGACAGGGTTCAAATGGTCTACCCACCAGAATTTACTGAGTGAATCTCACACGCACACACTCTAAAATGAGCCGTTTCAATCGTTATGTTTGATGAAGACTTTTCTGCTTTCAGGATTAGTTTCCCGAGCAAAGTTAAATTGTGAAGAAAGCGTCTCAGAACGGTATCAAATTTCTAATTATCGAAGGCTCAAGTCGTATTTTTCACTTTCGCCAGAAGCGCAAATGAGTAACTATTCATCAGATATAGAAAAGTATGCACTGGCATTGTTGTGCTTCATTTTAACGCAAACAATGTCGAAAAAAACAATTTACTGTGTCTTTTTTATTCTATGCAGGTAATTATAAAACCTATTATTTTCCTATTGATTGAACGGTTGAAAAAATCTTCCTTTAAAGTCTTACAGATTTAAATCTTCTTTCTTGCAAGGCCTTCCCATTTTTATTTAGTGTCTTGATAGGTCAAGTCAAATCTCAATTGTGCACTGGTATGGCTAAATATGAACGATGTTCGACAAATGCTGGCTGTGCCTGTTTACATATAGCAGATTCTATTAGCGTCGGCATTTGTAGCTATCTATCGTCCATCACAGTTTGTTCTCAACTAGTTAAATGCGATACCTATAACCGTTGTTATGCACCTAATCATGAGTGCATTTATCATCCAAAATGTCTGAGTACACCTCTTTGTTTTCCAGTATCGAGTTTCAATCGAGCACTTTGTCCACTCATAGCAGGTAAATGAACAATGAGTTGTCTTGCGGGCAACGATGTGACTGTGGGTATTTAATAAGCAAATCCATCGAGTATGAGTCATAAAACCACATCGAAAAAGATATATATATCCACAACCCTCACCTTTATTTTGTGCACAGAGAAATAGGTCGTGAAACAGTTGCAATAATTTAGAGTTAGACCATTACTGTAAAAGTGTAATATCTACATACTTCTACATATAAGTTTCTATGATAGACATAGAACTACATGGTTTTTTTATATGAATTTTCTATGATGATTAATAGTAACGAACACCACAACTACAACTCGCACTCCTCAAATAGGTAAGCTTTGATTAAGCCTTCTTCAAATTGCTCAACTCTCATGTTTAATCAAGTGTTTATGATGTCTTTTAATGAAATATTACTCTGCGGACTTAGGTACCTTTCATCATTGTGATTTAGTTTTTTGCAAAAGAAAAAAATAGTGTGAAAAGCCATATTCACTGACTTTCGCCACCCTTGAAGTTCACAACATTTTTTTGATATATTATTCTAGAAAACGATGATAATGCAGGTATCCCTCAATATGAAAATGTTGTTAATTGAATGAGTGACTTATGATCCCGATACATTCAATATTTATTTTGCAGATACAGATATCAATTTCATCCAAATTCAACATTAGATAGATTAATTTAAACGAGAATGGCCAATAGTTTCTTCATCGATAACATAGAACAGCAATTTAAATAGGCAGACAAATAAAAACATTTGTTTTTCGAATGAAACTTCGATGAAAATTACATGTGATCACAAAACGCTGCTTATTTCATACAGTTCGTTTGAATTATTTTTATTTTCGCATATGAGAAATGTGTAGTTTTTCAAAACGATATTTGAAAAAGATATCATCCGAGAAACTATGATAAAATACTACATACCCAATGATGAATAATTTTTTAAATAAAATTTTACTTTGTCATACCGTGTGTCTCTAAGAAGAAGAAATTATTTTTTAGAGCCAAAGAGAACGTCACCTGTTCGGATTGTATGTAATATTAAACATGTGTATAATTGTAAAATATTGATTTTATTATATGAAATAAATTGAAAAAAGGATGCAACCAGGTGATTACAATGTCCTACGATGCACCACTGATGCAAATGAATCGAGCTTAAACTTTGTGCAAATATATTCTAGTTTCTTCGTTCCACATAAATAAAAATCTCAGTTTTCTATGGTGTACACCTTTCTACATTGTATAGTACTAGTTATCAATATAAAAAATGTCTATTCAAATTAGCCTTTTTCGTTTCATGATCCGTTATTTTTTGACAATCATTAAAAAAACCAGTTATGCTGAAAATTGTATACGTTAGACTAAATTCTATTATAGTTTTGTTTCATTAGTCTAATCATTTTTAAACTAGAAATTAGTTTATCTTAAACTCATTGATAATATTCGCTTGCGTTATGATTATAAGCATTAAAGCTTGAGAAGACTTTCTCATAAACAGAAGAAAAAAATTAATTTTGGCTTCCATACTGTTTTACTCAGTTTTTAACTTCCGCAGTAGTCGTGTTGTAATTTAAAATAATGCATCAAAATTCAAGTATTTGGAGCTGTTCTTCAGTCTGAAAATATGATCATTTTTTTCATATACGTTAGAATATATGCGTATGAAATAAAAAAACTGCTTTTTATAATTTCAAATCACCATCAGAGTTAGGCTATGAGAAAGTGTTACCAAATGTTGTTCAAGTTGTACTCAAATATGAAATGAACTGCGGAATAAAAATCTTCACTTCTAAAAAACAACATAAGATATATGCTACTTTCTAGAGGTTTGAAAAGATGCTCATTGTTCTTTCCCAAAGAGGCGTGAAATAACTAAAATAGTGGTTCCAGTTAGATGATTTTATTTTTAATTTTGGCTTTTCAACATCGTCTTGATTAAAACAAATGAAAAATACTTTTGATACAATCAAGGATATTTTGAGTAGCAGTTTTCTTAATAAGATCTGATCAATCGATCACTCACTCATAAAGTCGATGTGTTTACATAAAATGTCACCATCGCTGGATAGATCTAGACTCAGCTGACTTTAAAATATCTATTTTTTTATGAGAATGAAAAATATATAACACAATGTATAACAATGTGATGCTGGTGAAAAATACATACACATACTTTAATCATAGTTTGATCTTTTTCTCAACGACATTCTCTTTCGTTTACGATTTAGTAATTTGAATTTCTTTTTTCTTTGAAGACTACCTATCGACGTTGTCAGTTTACTTGATTTCATAAGTTAGATTAAAAATCCATTCATTCTTCAACATATTTAATGTATCATCTACAATAATTTCATACGATGAAATATTTATTTTTATTCATAAAAAAAAGACTGAATGAAGTTCTACGTGTCTGATACATAGAGGTCTGCGGTTCCAAAAATGACTCGGAACCGCGATCCCGGCTCCGGTTCGGTTCGCGGCTCTAGATTTTGTGGAACTGCAGACCTCTATATCCTTTATACCTTCATCCAATATGATAGAATGACTAATGTTTTGACAATTTCAAACTTTTCATATATGAATACAGAATATATGAAAATCGATAAAAATAAATAAAATGATAGAAAAAATGCCGTGTTGGATTCGATAGAACGATGTCGAACATGGATAAAAATTATATTTTTCTAACACTTCTCTGTCGTATGGTGAAAATTCACGGTATTACAGTCGATTTATGTATACTATATTCATATATCCAGCAATCTTCGTGTATGATTGATTACTCCCACTCAAGTTATTCGATACTTTTTTAGTAAAACTCTAGTGCTAGTTCAATTTTTGTTTTTCTAGTATTTCTCTTTGATAATCAATTAAGTTTTCTTTAAATAAAATCGGTTTAAACAAAATTTTGAAGATTTCCATGTTGTTCTACACAAAAGTGAAAAGTATCTTAGCTTTTATTATTCATAGTCTTCTATTCATATAGCTTTGTGAAGAGCTAGAATGGATGACATAGCGTGAAAGCTCATGACCAGCTTTACAAGTATAGCTATAAAATATAGTTCAAATCTAATCGCGCTGTAATTGAAAACTCCATTTCCTTCCGATACACGGCATCTGAAAGCTAGGTATTTTATATTGTTGCTATGATTTTTCAGACTACACGGAACAATGGGCACGCTCTCCACTCATATATGAAAATAAAACAATCATATTAATAGATTCTATTACCAATAGATTTCATCTTGTTAACCTATCCAATTCGTAAATATTCATCATGCAATAGGGCTGGTGGAGACTGAGAACTTTATATTGACGAAAAACATGCTTTCAAACACTATATTATAGGTATTCAGATAAGACCAGCAAAGTGTTAGACATTTCTCTATTCAGATGATCTATTGCTTCAGGAAAATCATTCGTTCTTTCGAACGTGTTGTAACAAGAATCATTTCGCAGTTCACAAATTAAAAGAATTCAATGCAGTTTTTTAAAAATTTTCGCCTAGTTTTTTCACTCAACGTCAATGGAAATATATTAAAATTACAATATGCTAAAAATGGATTCACACTTTCGATTACTTTCTTGGCAGTGAAGTTTTATTCAGAAAACAAATAGTTTCCTTAAAAATAGCTCCTCTCAAGTGAGCAAACAAAAGAGAATTCTTCATTACACTACATAAACGTCTCACTAGTAGCATTTCTAGTCAATCTTGTAAAATGCTTAGAATTTTAAAAAACTATGCTCACTTGAGTTTTCCATTCGAAGAGCCCTCTACAATTTTCTCATATTACCTGCAAAACGACAAGAAGATTCTGAATCTTGTCCTACTTTCAAATGATATTCAATCATTCCTAACATTGACAATTCTTTTTACATTGCCTCATGCCAGCTTTTCTAAGACTACCAGGTGAGCGAGAGATGACGAATATTTTCCTTTATTTCTTATAGTTATACCCAATATTCCTGCCAATGCCAAATGGACACAGAACGAGTGACTATTGCTGGAGGCAACGGGTTGGGTAATGCCAACAATCAACTATACGAACCTTATGGTCTCTTCGTTGATGACAATCAAACAGTGTTCATTGCTGACTACGAAAATCATCGTATCATGCAATGGAAGGAAGCTAATACGACGAATGGGCAAGTTGCTGCTGGAGCTAATGGCCAGGGAAATCAATTGGACCAATTGAATAGTCCAACTGATGTATTGATCGACAAAGAGACGGATAGTCTCATTATTTGCGATTGGAGAAATCGACGAGTTGTAAGATGGTCTCGTCGTAGTGGCCCAACACAAGGAGAAATCCTCATCGACAACATCGACTGTGAAGGATTAGCGATGGATGATCAGAGATATCTCTATATCGCTGACCCGGAAAAGCATGAAGTAAGACGATATGAATCGGGAGACGTGAATGGCACTCTCGTGGCTGGTGGAAATGGTCTAGGTAATGGTACCAGTCATCTCAACGGGGTGACTTATCTCTTTGTAGATCGACAACAGAATGTCTACGTGTCAGACAACTGCAATCATCGTGTAATGAAATGGAGTAAAGATGCAAAAGAAGGCATCGTCGTCGCTGGAGGTCAAGGCGAAGGGAGCGCTCTGACACAATTGAACTATCCTAACGGACTCTTCGTCGATATGTTCGGTACACTCTATGTAGCAGACACGTGGAATCATCGTGTAATGCGTTGGACTCAAGGAGCGCAACAAGGCACTGTGATTGTGGGTGGAAATGGCCACGGAGCAGGAGCGAATCAGTTCAGCTACCCCACTGGTTTGTCTTTCGATCGACATGGTAATGTCTATGTCGCCGATGAGAGTAATCATCGTGTTCAACGATTTTCTCTCCAATAAACTCTCGTGAATTGTGATTGTTTTTACTTTCTCTTTCTATTCATTATCTCAACCCGAGACGTTCATATTATCTATTGATAGAAAACTCAGACGATATTCTTTGATGTTTGTCACTATCGATTGACAATGAAATAAAAAGCAAAAAAAAATTTTCTTCGATATATATATATATATAATATTAAAATTCAAAACACACAGCATAAGCAAAAAAAGAGAAAATATTTAGTATCGAAACTTGCTGTTAATTGAGCCGCGCGATGTGCAGTTGTTTTGCATTACAATGAAATGTTGTGTTGAACTAGAATGAATGCAAAACAAATTGCTTTGTTCGTACGACGCATATGCGTGCGCACCCAGGAACGACCCGCGAGCCCGCAGCGAGCGCGTGCTCAGAACGTCCTGGCAAAGAAACCACCCCCTCATAGGACCATATATTGAAATGTATGCTTACCTGACGGTTGATGGAGTCTACAAATGGCCGGTACGTTTACTGCGAGTTCATAAGCGTTTCTGGACCTAAAAAAGAAGAATATAAGACACATCCAGAAAAGAAAAAAAGGAGAACATTTAGAATGAAATGATAATTGAAGAAGAAGAAAAAAGGAAAACGAAGAATACCTACACTTCTTTTTTAAGTTGATTTGGTATTGTTCATGCTGTTGCTTATCGCCGTTGCTTGAGGATCTAAATAGAAAAAGAAAAAAGATTAGAAAATGATTCAACAATTGAATGAGTTACATGATGAAAATCGTCAATACTTATATCCGTGTTCTGAAGGAAAAATATAATTTATTGATCGCATGAATATACAATTAATTGTAAGGAAGAGAGAATATTTGTTTTCTTCTCTCTCTCTCTCTCTCTCTCTCTCACTGCTCATAGATATGAGAACGGGAAAGAAAAAGAAAATTAGATCGTGCTTACGATTCTGTTATTACTCAATGATATGGAATAATAATAGATTAAGTTATATATGCTGGCATGTGTAACATTCTTCTATTTATCACCTAAGCCATGAAATCAGTATTTTCAATATATTAAACACAAGCATTTGTTGAATCTACAGTTTGAAAAATACTTGTAATGATTGGATATGGTGCTACAAAAAAAAGTCTTTTAGTTTTCAACGACAATTAGTCTTGATTTCCAGTTTTCGACAAGTTGAACTGTCATCTTCACTCATGAACTAGAGCAATTTAAACAGATTATGTATATATGTCTTTAATATGTAACATCACAACATAATAGAATTACAATTAATGAGAATGAAGAGAAAAAAGCAAAAGAAACAAGAATATTTGACAATAATTACGAAAAATACTTTGTTGTTTCTTTTCATCTTTTTTATTCCTTCTTATAACTTATTATCAATGAAGATCCATTTCTTTTATTAATTTAGTTATCCAATGGTTGAGAGTATGGGTGTGGATGTGGGTAGAACTATGTGTTATCGATGATCACACCCACACCCAAACACCTTCAAGATCATCATCAGATGGTTTTAAGTCTGATATGCTTTTTTTGAATGCGGATGTGGGAGCTGAGAACAGCTACCGCAATAGAAATGTATTTTATCTTCACATAAACGATAATCAAGTGACACCGTATCAGTATAAAAGATTCACTCCTAAAGAGAAAAGCCAATACAAGAATAGAATATAAGACAAGAGAGTGAAAGTAGTAACACGACACGTTTTGCCCTTGTTGAAGAGACTTATTAGGCATTTTCTCAATAGATTATTACATGAAAATCAAAATTGTTCAAAATAATGATAACTGTATAACGTTTTTATTTATTTATGTAGAGGTATGACAAGAAACCGAGTTTTTAGAATGAAAACGAGAAGCTTACGTTTTACATAATCTAATAGTGTTGAATAGGATGTGGTTTGAAAAAGAGAACGAGCCTAGTTGTTATTTGATGGCATTTATTGAACAGAAAGCTGATAACAGAAGTAGTTGACATGATTGAAACATGAGATGCTAATTGCACTAGATGAGCCGAATAAATGATGCGTCGACTATACTAGTATGATGATGTGCACACGAATAACAGTTATTAAAAAGGTGAGAACGATACAGTCAACAGTGAAAGACGCTGGCTGCGCATTAACTTCTAAATGCGGGCCAACGTGTAGAAAGAAAATATAGAAATATAAGAAATACATGGCCATCAGTTTTTCGACAGATCGCATCAAATTTAGATTTTCATTTTGAAAGGTAAAATTTTATTGAAACTATAACAGTGGAAAGTTCGAAAAAAGTTTTAAAACATTTTCTCAAGAACTACATGTTCAACAGTTGTGAAAATTTCTCGGTTTCCATTACCAAATGTTCTCTATAAATTGGCAGAGAAATTCGATTTGGCGTGTCTCCTTAATTGCATTTACATTTTGTCTTCAGAAACCCGCCACAACGTCCACCTGATCTTCCTTCGCGACAGCACTTTCTTGCACATGCACTTGTATCAAATGGACATCGAATCCCTGCAAATGAACCATCAGGACCACATGTAGCATCTCTCTGGTCATTGGTGCAAACGCAACCTGACCGAGCATTAATTGTAGGTTTATATTCCGTCTGGCCAGGGCCAACTAGATTTATTATACCATCGACAGTAATAGTTCCTTTACAAAATCCGGTTAGATAACCAGCATGACAACAAGATTTATCACAACTTTCTGTTTCCGTGTCTGTAGGTCTTCCAATTAATTTCTGACACGTAGGTTGAACCAATTTACCACAAACACTTTCAACTGCCGGTTGAGTTTTCTGCGGTAGGGCTTTATATTTATTCCAGCGAGCTTCAAGTGCCGCTCCACGCTAAAAAAACAATTAGAATTAAAAAACTCAGTCATTAAGCTCACTTTGAATCTATACGTAGCACAAGCTTTGTATAGAACAGAAAAATGCAAAATCAAAATATCAACATGTGAATAGAATTAGGCTGTCTGATGATCTTAGCTGAAAATACATCGATGAAGTATTGTTAGGAACAATCTTATAGCTACTTCTGAGGGTTGATAAGGAACATTCTCGATTGTTTAGTCGCTTTTGAATGGAGTATTTCTTCAAGTGATATATCGGAATGCGTTATGAAATATCTCAGAATGATTCGATTTTCCATATCGCCTCTAACTCTTGTAGGCTGTTTGGTATGCTATCTATCATGTTAAAATTTGTGATAAGTAGATGTTGTTTTACTTAAATCTGTCAAATTTTTATGTACAGTAATTGGTAATCTAATTATAGTATGAGCACTTGCTCTAGTGTGAAATCATACACTAACCTCATTTTTTCATCATCTATGCATGCTACGCTGAATGATATAGGTTAGTCATTTTACTTCAATTATTCAGACGTTCATTTATACCAGTGAAGCAATAGAATATAGATGTGTTGTACTACGAAACGTACCTATGAAAAGTTGATATCCAAAATATTCATGTTTAGGACGCAATATTAACTTCATCGAAAATTTTGAGAGAATTACTAGCGCTCAATAGTTTACAACGGTCATGGATTTGAATTCAATAAAAACTAATTTATTGAGGAACTCAAAAAATAGATACAGTAATAGGTGCATAACTCTATTCGGGAAACTTAGAAAACCAACTCATTTCAGGATAGTCAATAACTCATTGAGATCTATCGATGAGTCTTCTCCGGAAGTGCTAAAATACTGACTTGTGGATCTGGAAACCAGGTCCAAGAATGACTTTTTGCAATGATCATTAGCACTGAAAAACAAAAAATTTAAGTATGCCAAATATGATAATGTCAGTTCAGTCAAAAACAATGCCTGCTCACCAACACCTGTGATCGAGAACAATTCATGGAAGCGAACCATATCGAGCTAAAACGATAGATATAAAAGATAGTATAAGACGTAAGAGAATGATCACACATACTATGAAAGTATTTTTGTCTTGATGTGAACTGATAGATATCAAATGAATATAATTCATCTGCCATGCGCGCTGTACTTTATATAGACACAGGAATGCCGTACTTCTTACGCAGTTCCCGTTTCTTTACTTCGTTTTTCAGTATCAAATAGCAATAAAGTATCTAAGGCACTTCCTCTCAGTATTCAAAGCCATGCATGACGCCAGGCTTAATTTATCAAATAACTGTACACTTAGAAAAGAAAGGAGTAATGTGCTTCTTTTTTATCCGAATGTCAATATTTTGACAATGCATCCAGCTGCATTTTAAATGATTGATGACAAAAAGACGATCAAGTAAATCAATTGAAAAACAGCAATCTATCTCCTCACAAAAACACAAATCAATCTGCTACCTACAAGTCTTGCTTTTTAGTAGTCGATTATAACCCAATAATAGAATATAAATTGTATTTGAATTGAAAGGAACTACGTGTGGAATGTTTTTTAAATAGCATTGGAACATCTTGACCGGAGCTGCTCCGAGAATAGGAAAGAATTAGCATAGTCAGGTTGACCAGCACGAGTTTTCCTGATATAGTGGGTGTGGATGTACTTACCTGCTGATTTTGTTATTCTGTTGAATCGAACCCACACCCCACACCATCAAGTTAAGAAGTTTTACTGTCATTTCACTGATTGATGTCGTCATGTTAAAGATTTCTTCACAATATGTTAAGAAGGAAGATGGAGCAACTGAATAAAATAAGAAACAAAAAAGGAGAATAAACAATATTTTGAGTACAAAATTAACTAGGATCGAGAAACAGAGGGTGTGGGGGTGTGGGTTTGGCTCCGGTTTGGGTGTGGATTAGTAAAGGTTTTCCGTCAGTTTCTTTCTTATTACACTCACACCGGCACCCCAAAGTAGGTTTGATTTTGTCAATGTTAGTGCATGGACTTTGGGCTTCTTTTTATCATAGCTGCTATTATAATTGCTATTAGAAAATGAAAGTTCTTGTTCAGTGCTGATTTTTTATTTGATTGAAAAATAATTTTTAAATTTTAGGGTGAATCCATGGAGACCCATCCACTTTTTGGAAAAGTTTTTTTTTTCGATTTTTTTTTCGTTCAAAAGGCTGATCTCGACTAGAAAACACTTTTGGTCAAAAAAAAATATATATAGTGGGTATCAAAAATTCCGAGTTTTCGAG